TTTTTGCTGGTACTGAGGTTGGACTCAAGGTCTCGTGCTTGCTAAGTGTGTGCTCTAACATTTTAGCCACTCCACCAGCACTTTTTTTGTGTTGGTTATTTTAGAGACAAGGTATCACTTTATGCCTAGGCCAGCCTGGACTATAATCCTGTTTGACCCTCCCTGGGTTGCTGGGATGACATGCATACTCCACTGTTGCCCAGTCATCAATTGAAATGGAATAACATGAACTTTCTTTTCTGATCTAGGCTGGCCTCAAACCATGATCCTCCATCTCAGCCTACTCAGTAGCTAGAATTACAGACTTCAGCCACTGTTCTGGCCTAATATATAACACTTCAAATTGAAATGTCATTCCTTTGTGTAACAAAGCTTATTATATACTTGTACCCATTCTCCTCTTCTTCCTACTTATTCTTAGTTAAAACAGTACATTTTCAGCTTGTTTTGCCCATGAGGATAGCTATATGATTCAGTTCTAAGTGTTGAGATGTAAGATTGAATTGCTGGGTACAGCTTAGAAAGTTCTTTGCAGGAGAGAAGACATGATTGCCCTTCACCTTTGCCTGTTTCTGTTCACCTACTCTTTTTGGATAAGAATGTGAAGGAAGCCAGATGCTGATGGCTCACATCTGTAACCCTAGCTACTCAGGAGGCTGAGATCTGAGGATCCCAGTTGAAAGCCAGCTCAGGCAGGAAGTCCATGAGACTCTTACCTCCAATTAACCACCAAAAGATCATTAGTGGAGTTGTGACTCAAAGTGGTAGAGTGTTAGCCTTAAGCAAAAGAGCTCAGGGACAGTGCCCAGGCTCTGAGTTCAAGCCCCATGACTGACAAAAAAAATGTGAAGGAAGTACAATGAAGCAGCCATCTTGTGGGCGATGGGTTAGAAGTCACCTACAAATAGATAGATAACTGATACAACCTGCTGAAAATTAAATGTTAGCTAATTATATCATGGAGACAGTTTTTATATACTCTATACTACCTTCAGATAAAAGTTAATCTAAAACAAAACAAAACAAAGCCGGGTGCCGGTGGCTCTCGCCTGTAATCCTGGCTTCTTAGGAGGCTGAGATCTGAGGATCTCTGTTTGAAGCCAGCCCGGGCAGGAAAGTCCGTGAGACTCTTATCTCCAATTAACCCCCAGAAAACTGGAAGTGGTGCTGTGGCTCAAGCAGTAGAATGCTCGCCTTGAGCTGAAAAGCACAGGGACAGTGCCCTAAGCCCAGAGTTCAAGCCCCACGACTGACCAAAAAACAACACAAACAAACAAACAAAAAACAAAAGTTAAAGGCTCTAAACTATCCTAATCTGTTTCCAAAGAAGGACTAGAATTCCACTCTTTCTTAAGGAAGTAACCTTTATCCAATATATTAAAATCAAGACCACCTTACCAATTAATTTAAAAATAACATTTCACATATTTTCAGATAGTATTGTAAAATATCACATATCAAAACCCAGTACCTATCCCTTTAGCAATTTTAAAGTGTGTTTGTAAAGATTATTGCTGAGGACTGAATGATGGGTATTCACAAATAGTAGGAATTCATACTCTAGTGCCCCCCAACCCAAACCACCAATTTAAGCCATATCAACTTAGAAGGAAACTTTACAGTATGTTTTTATATACCAACATATTTCAAAAATATTGCTCTCTATATCAATGACTAAGACTTAATCCAGTGTTATCCTTGTATATAGTATATCTCTTGATTAGTATTGAATTCTAGAATATCAGTATGTTCTGCTCAGTACTTGGATAGTTCTTTTGCTGATCAAATGCTGGTTAGAGCCTACTCACAAAACCACTGATGAATTTTACTGTTTTCAAAAACCTAAATACTTGCACGGGTCATCTGCCTAGAAAACAGAGAAGGCAAGTTCCATTTGTTCTGAATTTCCATTCTCTCTCTGCTGGGTCTATGGCCAGCCCACCATGATAGTCTTACTACTTCCTTTGTGTTTTACTGAAGAGAAATATAATTTTCTGTCTCTGGATCTAAACCTGTTAGAGAACACCACTTCAAGACTCTCAGAAGGGCTGGGAAGGTGGCTCAGTGGTAGAGTGCTTGCCTTGCATGCCTGAGGCCCTGGGTTCGATTCCTCAGCACCACATAAGCAAAAAGAAAAAAGCCGGAAGTGGCGCTGTGGCTCAAGTAGTAGAGTGCTAGCCTTGAGCTGAAGAGCTGAGGGACAGTGCCCAGGCGAGAGTTCAGGCCACATGACCGGACCCCCAAAAAATAAAAATAAAAAAAAAGACTCACAAGTCCTTTAAGAAAATTATTTGTCAGTTAAATGTATTGTAGAGTCTCCATCTCAGGGAGTAATTGAAAAAAAACTAACTGTTCCCTAGACAGCTGTAAAGTACTTTACCATGTCACACCCACACAGAGCTATCCATACCCAATTCTTTAGGACTGGGGCTAGGTTACCAAGGAGCAAATAGCCAAAATATTTTATATTTACAATCTGTAGGGAATACTTCATACTTCATTATTTATAGGAAATATTAAAACTAGCTTAAACTAAAAATGCTACACTTAAACTGGCTCTAAAAGTAATTTCTGAAGTGCCACAAGAGGGTAGTATTACTCTACTAAAGAAGGGGAGAACAAACTGGCTTTTCCTGTTTGAAAAAAGAAGTCATCTTTCCTGTCTTACCTAGTAACAAAAAGGTGAATACTTATGAACTGACAATGAGAGGGGTATGCAAATACTTGCATTAGTATTAGCAACATACAACATTCCTCTATATTTGTCAGTAATAAATTGCACTTACTCAAAACAACAACAACAAACACCCACAAGTGCTCTGGAGGTCCTCAGGACCTGAGAATGCAGCTTTTAACTCAGTGCTTTAGCTGCAGCTATCTGTTGTTACCGATAATGAGCAGTACAGAGTAATTCAGTGAAATGGTACAGGACTTTTAGAGGAAGAAAATATGACTCTGTGCTTATACTGTGTAGGCTTGAGCAACTCCCTTAATCTCTTCCATTTTAGTCTCATGATTAAAGAAAATAATATTAAACTCTATTCCATCAGGTTGTTATGAGGCTGAGATAAGGAAATATAAATATATACATACTGCATATAATTAATTAAAGACAGATGATCATTGTTGTCCTACAAATTAGCTGAATATTGTATTTTTACTTTTAAAAAGTACTACAAACTCCCCATGTTTCTGAGCACTTTTAAGTAAAAATTCAGCAAGAGTTCTGAGTAAAAAGCTATTTCTAAGCATACTCTGGAATGTAAATCATGCTATCGGCCTTCTCTATATTTTAAAGAGAAATTTTGAATGAATGAAAAGCCAATGAATGTGCTTTGTAAAGTATTAAACATAAAATACCTAGTCATTTCCCAGGGGTTAAAATGAACGCTCAAGACATGAGAAGATGTCACTATAGACAAACAGTCTGAGGCTCATTGTAAGGTAATGTTATGTTTACTCATATCTTACATATTTGTGTATGTGTATACATGGATGCAGGTATAATACAGAGGAACTGGCATGGAACTGTTTTAGATATGCGGAATGAGGCAAAACAGCTAGGATATGGTGACGAGAAATAGGAAAAATATATTAGAAATTAGTCAGATCCAGGAGCTGAGACTGAATTGGTAAATAAGGCTGAAAGCAATCACTCGACCAGCAAAAAATCAAATCAACTCTTCAAAATGAATAGACCTTTAGGACTTCCTTTTTAAAATGAGATACAATGCCTCTGGAGGGAGAAATAAATCTGAGAATAAAAAGACCTGGTTTGGGTTTTTATAATTTATTTTTAAATATAAATTTGTTGTTATTATTAAGGTATTACTATTTCATAAGTGATTATCATTTCATAAGGAAATGAGTACATTTCCTTTTTTAGACAATGTCACCCCTTCCTTTGCTTTCCCACAGCTTCCCCCTCCCAACCTTGTACACAAGTTTGTTTTTGTTTTAAATGTGTGACCAGAGTACCTTTAAAAGATAAAAGACCTCAACTGCTGGGTGCTGGTGGCTAACACTTGTCATTCTAGCTACTCAGGAGGCTGAAATCTGAGAACTACAGTTAAAATCCAGCGCAAGCAAGAAGGTGCATGAGACACTTGCACCGCCAATTAACAACCAGAAGAAGCTGTGAGTAGAGCAATGGCTCAAGAGGTAAAGTGCTAACCTTGAGAAAAAAAAAAAAAAAAGCTTAGGGACTCTGAGTTCAAGCTCTAGGACTGGAATGCCCACATTTAAAAAACAAGAATAAAAAAGACTACAAAGAACAGACACTCAGGTCACAGCTCTTTAGACTAAAAGACCAATTCAGACCCCTTGTCTCCATGTTGGTGACAGAATCAAAAGAGGATAATTTGAAAATTGTGAAGTACTACATATCCAGGTGACCAGTTCTAAACTGGAATCTTCTGGGCAATTTAGGAGAAATAAATACCCTTGGACAAAGATCATTCATTGTAACTTTGCCCCTCACCTTCTTTCTGATAACTTGTAAAAAGGTGCAATTGTTGTTTCTTTTTTTTACCCCTTAGACCCTTTGTAAATAAATCTCTTAACTAAACGTGCTAAATGCTGGCCTTCTGTGTTACTTTGAAATTTATTTCATTATTATTCCAAATTCCTGGGAGTCCTGGTGACTTGAAAAATTATGTGGAGTTCCCACTGCTATTGGGGAAATCCTCTTTTCCACATAATCTTCCCGGTAACACAGAAGGTATGTGAGACTGATGGTACACTGAGATTCCTTTTCTTTTGTATTTACTTCATATGTTTGTGCCTACATATAAATCCCTGTCCAGTTTTGTAAGGGGGAGATGATATTGATAGTCTTGTTCCTTGTTAGTGGATTTCTTGAATGCTGGAATTGCTTTTCTGAACAAAATATTTTATTTGAACCTTTCCATAGTCTTTATAATTTTGTTTGGAATCTGTCTGGGGGAAAATATACATAATTTCTTTCAATTATTTGTTTTGCTTAGCCATCCTTTACTTACCACTGACATTCGTTCATAGACACGAATAGAAGATAGTCTATCTACAATAAAGCAAATATGGGCAATTGATATTTTATTAATTTCAATTCAACTTATAAGACATACATATCATTCCTTTTGTACCTGAAGGATTTACACGGCATTTTTCCATTTTTTCTTCAAGAGACCTAATTTGCTTTTCTAATTGACCATTAAGTTCGAGTTGGGTCTCATAACGAGCTTTCCATTCACTACCTGAGTGAAAAAGATAGGGGAAAAAAATCAAGATCACCCAGACTGCATTTCATTTACTCATCTGAATAACATGAACCAAGGCAACTTATTACTATACCTAACTAATGATGAATACAAACAAACTAAAGGAAATAATTGCATGCATGAGGCCCTGGGTTCAATTCCTCAGCACCACATAAGCAGAAAAAGCCAGAAGTGGTGCTGTGGCTCAAGTGGTAAAGTGCTAGCCTTGAGCTGAGGGACAGCACCTAGTCCCAGAGTTCAGGCCTCACAACCAAAAAATAATCAAAAAGAAAAAGAAAAAGCTCTAAAGTCTGTTTAATAACTAATGTGTATTTGTGGTTTCTATATACAAGTCACAAAACTCTTCACATGACTAGTTATTTAATCCTCATTTTAAAAATTATTTTATTTATTGATCTTTTTTGTTGGCCGTGGGGGTTGAACTCAGGGCTTGGGCTCTGTCTCTGATCTCTTTCACTCAATGTTAGTGCTCTAAGCTTTGTGGAGATAAGTATCTTACAAACTTTCCTTCCTGGGCTGGCTTTGAATTGTGATCCTCAAGACTCAGCCGCCTGAGTAGCTAGAATTACAGGTGTGAGCCACCAGCATCTGGCTGGTTTAATAATTCAGTCATATTGAAATTGTTCAGTATATAATAACTACAACATTAAAGCTGTCAATTTGAAAACAGTATAAGAAGAAATTAACTTAACATGGAAATAAAAAAGCCTAATGTGGCACTCCATTAGGTACTCTAGGGATATAAAAATAAAGTTAGACACCATGAGTGCCTGTCAAGTTTTCAGGGTATAAATGGTTTTTCTTTATTATTTGATGTGTCTTTTCTTCTTTGCACACTCATAAGTTAGAGTAAAAACGTGTATGGTAGAATGAAGGTGCATAACCCTAAATATTCATCTTCATGTTTATTTAATAATAAAGTTCTCTTTAGGTTCTGTTTCATAATAATTAAAAACCAAACGATTTCCCCATAGATTGGATGTGAAAAATATTTTACATTTGTGTACAAAGGTGGTGGCGGGGGGGGGGGACAATGACAACACAAAGCTAACATTAGACAGCCCTTGCTATGACTGGTCAGTCAGGAGAAAATGTTTGGTTACGTGGATGCTATGGAACACATTAGCCAATAAAGGTTCCAAGTGAGGAACTATATCCTGATAGAAATAACCTCTGACCCAACCAAAAAAGGTAAGAAAATATATTAAAGCAGAGAGATTTGGCAAGGACAAACATACCAACATGTCTACACAGGAGGAGGTATATGGAGACATAGGGAAGTAGTTACTGCTTCGTCAATTTCAGGTGATTTCGTGATGAAAAACAACAACAATCTACAAAGTAGATTAAGTAGATTAAGTTTGAGTCATCTCCACCACTTACCTGAATGTGAATGAGATTTGGAGCTAGTTCCTTTCTTTTCTTGCTTTTGTTTCTCATCTGCAAAATAATGATAGCTAAAGTTCCTATCTTATATGAACTTTATCTTTCCTATCTTATTGGGAACACTCATGAAACAAGTAAAGTGCCTAGAATGCTTCAGGGCATGCAGAAATGCTATCAGAGTTGTTATACTTTATTTTTATCACAATGATCATCAACATTATAAAAAAAATTGTCTCCAAAGTGCTTCCTGGAGAGGCAACACTGCACTGCAGTATATAACTTATAATAAAAGCAGCTTTTCTTCAAGATAAAGGGATCCGTATGAGTAGTCATGCAGCAATCTGGGAAAGGTATTAGTAGGCAACATGATGAAAAAAACCTATATTTCTATAACATCTATAACTTCTGAAATTGACTCAGCAACGGAGGAAGTTCCAACAGAGAAATATGAGTAGGACATATAGGCAACTCATGAGTCTGAAAATGTGGTCAAATTCTTTCAGCTAAAAAGACCTGAAACACAATGTGTTCCCTACTAAAGAAGTAGAAAACCTCACTTTCTAACCTGCTATTGTCAACATTAAAAAAAAATAAGACCATTAATATATTAGATTTTTAACTAATCCCGTGGAAAGTTCTGAACTACTAAATTCTAAAAAATGAAAATTGCAATAGTTATGATTTGATTTCTTTAACGGTGTTCAACGGTGTAGTACATTTTAATGATAGCAGCAGGTGTTTTTGTATTTTTCCCCTTCAAAATGGAAATGCCTCTAATGTTTCACCATTATGTACAATGTCTGCCTGAAGTAAATAGAAGTAATATTTTACTTGTTTTCAAATGAGGAAGACAAATTGAATTTTATGAAAAGAATTTTAAAAACATTTAATCTATACACATATGATTTAATAACCAAAAAGATCCAAAGTTGGAAACCAGACTATAAATGGAAACAAATGTTCTCAAAGGAAAGGTCCGTGGATTTGTGTGTAGTCACTATATGGAATGTATAAACCTATTTGTCAAGGATCATTTAAGAAATGGGAAAGAAAGAGGACTCAGACCTGGAGCATTCACGGTACTTTTAGCAATCAGGAAGATGAAGAGAAATGACAAGTGCCAGTTGGTAGGAAGATAACCAAGACAGTGTGGTATTGTCCTTTCAAAAACAAGTTCTTGATCAACTGTGACAATGATTGTCAGGTCAAGTAAAATGAGAAATGAAGCTGCTGATGTACTCAGCAAAGTGGAACAAAATGGTGACCTTGATGAAAGAAGTTGATTGGAGGCAAAACTTGTGGAATGAGTGTAGGAGAAAATTAGTTATCTTTGTACTGGGCAAATTTAGTCTGTTATCTCTATATGGACAAATGCCACAGAGCCTCACTAAACCAAGGTTCACTTCTCTAGATGAAAAAAAAAATTGAGGAGCAAATTTAAGGTTAAGAGGTGGGAAAAGAAAGACGAGACTAAGGGTGTGAGCTTTGATTGGAGAATGCCTGGATTTGAATTCCAGATCTATCACTGACCATCTCCATAGTCTTGAGAAAGGCATTTCAAGCTTGATTGTTATTGTTGTTCTTGTTGTTATTGTTGTTTGTAACTGCTAAATTATATGGCAGTTTGCTGCAAGGCAGTATGTAACTAAAACTTTCATGAGTAATGTGGTAGATGGAAATAATAGTAGTTGAAATCTAATGGAAGCTAGGTAGGCCTTGCAACTCCTTAGGTATATGACCTTCTTTCTTACATAAATGAGGATAATGCCCACTGTCAGCTATTTATCTTAGGCTTTAGCTTTGGCCTACAGAGAAGAGAACTTCCTCTCCTGCCATCTTGGTATTTTCTTCATGCTTAAGTACAAATACCTTTCCATGATAACTGTTGCTAATATGTCTTGTCATGCAATATTTACTAGTGGGCATAGATAATGCTTTGCATGTGGATCCAGGATAATGCCTTCTACTTTTTCTGTAAACATATAGATGAGAGTACTTTAGCTACTCTTGCCAATGGAAATACTTGATAAATGAACCTAGTGGCTATCCTCACTGAGCTAGTGATAACTAAAGTATACAAAAGGAGATATAGGAAGCTACTAGCCTTGGATAAAATGTTGTTCTCCAATCAAACTTTAATACAGTGTTAGGAATTTACAGCAAGTGGCTTTTGATTTCTCATTTGGCTACTAATCCAGTTTGTTTCCCAAGAAAGGAAGTATAAATGGGTTTCACCCTAATAAACACCTCAGCATTGTCTTCTCTGGTAACACCATCTTTCAGCCCTTTCTGGAACTGTGCCCAGTTCTCTTTCCCTAGGTTCCCATTTCTCCTTACAAAGAACACAGATTACTTCTCATATCCTGATTTTATTTTGACCTTGGCTCCCAGTACTAAGGAAAAAAGAAAAGTGTTCATTCAAAGTGTTGCTACATGACAAAGTGTCAATCAGTATTTGTGGAATACATTAATAACCTGAATTCATTATGAAGTTTAAAGATAGATGGGTATGTGTGTGATGTATTTTATATACTCTCTCCTCCCCAGATTTTAGTTACAGCTCATATCCAATAGATAAGAGGGGTGTAATTTAAGTTAAATGAAAAGTTTGTCATATTTTATCACTCCGAAAGAATTTATATATTGATGTTAATAATAAAATTTTGTGAATTCATGAATACATTGAACTTGTAATGTAGAAAAAATAATTATATAGTAATAGGTTTGCATTCTGAAGTATTAATTTTACAGTTTTACTTTTTACTAAAGTAGTTTATTGTAAATTATTATTAATGATACCAAAAAGCCATGCTGAAATTTTGGTACTATGATTTAACCTGTGTTCTTTAAAAGTATTCTGATAAAATGAACAAGAATTATACAGGAGTCACATAATGTTTCTACTTCTTTACCTTCATTATCACTATTGAGTTTGGCTTCCATTTCTGCTATCTTGTGTCTTATTTCAAGCAATGACAGTTGCACTACATCCCTGTCATTAAAAATATATTGGTTAGTAATATTTCAATCAAAAATAACATGAAACAATGAAAGCATAGCTACCTACTAGTACTTCAGAAACAATTTTACTCTGAAATATAATTGACAGCATGGTTGCAATGAAGGCAACGGATCAGTCAATTTCCAAAAGACTATATCTTAAAACTCAAAGTGCACAGACAATCACTGGAAATGACCCTTAACCAAAATCTCAAGGAAGTTTGTTATCTGGTGCTCATAACCCAGCAAATTAAAAGTTTCAAAGCATTGCAAAAAGGCTAGGGCCAGAGGGGCCTACGTAAGAACTGATAGCCTAAAACAAAGAAAACACAGATCCTTCTTAAGCATACCAAAGGTCAGCTACGCAGGACACCAGTAAGCAGTACATTAATCGAAGTGAAGAAAATGAGAAGCTCATTTATTCAGTATTTTTGAATGCCTATTATGTTAGAGGCACTGAATTAAAGACATTACAGTGAATCATATATGTACAGTGTATACATATATATGTAATATACGTATATAATATACAGATGTATATGTGTATATGTATGTGCGTATATATATAGATGAATACATATATGTGTATATATCTAGCTATCTATCTACCTATACAAATGTATATATATATGTGTGTGTGAGAACACGGGAAGGGGGTCAGATGGGGACACACACGGGGAATGGGGACACGCACGGGGAAGTACACTGCCCAACTCACTTCATGTGGATTTCTTCCAGCAACTCCAGTTTAAGGCGGTCTATGCTCACACCATCAAAGTTGTCATCTCCTCCCTCCCCCATAGTGGCAGGTCAGAGACCTCCTGTGCCCCTCCTCTCCACACAGCTTAGGACATAAGATCTGAAGAGACCCACTGGAGCCAGGGAAGAAGGGATGGATGGCAAGCATCGTTGCCATGGTGACGCCCTGCGCCCCTCCTCCTTTGCGTGGGACACATGGTGACGTCACAGGGCGTCAGCAGCGATTCCAACAGGGTGGGGCTAGAAGTAGTGCCATAGATTAACATTCCACAACCGAGTGCAGAAACCTGGGCCATCATTCCTTCTCCTACTAGTGGAAGGTCACCCTTTGCTCAGGTACCGAGAATTTTGGTGCACTGGCTACACATCTGCCTTTTTCTGGTCTCAGGTGTGATATTTTCTTTATTGCAAGGCCTATTGAACGCACACCAGAGCCTGTACTTAGGCATACAGTAGGAGGATTGGGCCTTGGAAAGATACTGCCTGAATTGGGGAAGAAGTGAGCCTCCAAACCAAGAGCTTTTCTCTTAGTTTTAGGCAGATCTGCGGACTGTCCACTACAACTTGAAATTTTATCTGTTTAGATGTACAATTTTCATTCTCTTGAGGCATCTAACTTTTAATTGCCTTCTTTCCCAGCTCCCCATCTTTGAATAGAAAGGTAAGATGCACTGTCTGCTACTATCTCCTCCAAAATTCATATTGAAATATGAGTCCTAGACTGAGATGGTAAGATGAAACTAGGGACCCATAAGACATGATTAGTTCTTGGCCCTCTTGGGTGGAGAAATCCATTCATGGAACTAATGAGTTCATGGTTTATCTTCGTGGTTTATCTCCAGATGAGTCTGATATCAAAGCCATTTGGGTTAGAGTCCTAGCCAGATGCTGGCCTGGTGATTGATGCCTTTCACCACCTTGGGACTCTGACAACATATAGGCCAATACCAGTTATGGCCCCTCAACCTTGGAACAGAATTGTGAGCCAAATAAACCTCTTTGCATTACTACCTACAGGAAACAGTGTAAGATAATGACGTCTTACATTTTCCTGAATCAGTTTAATAAAAGTGTGATGGCACCATGTTTGCCAACAGAGATCGCAAGTGGTGTATCTGGTAAGGAATTTCTTCATTTCAGTTCATCTCTAGTGCTCAGAAGAATGACCTTTAGTGTAGGACACAGAGATAGGGAACATCTGGCTCACATCGTATTAGGCCTGTGAAACCATTTGTAAATTGATGAGACAGACACAAATGCCCATGGCCTGTCTGCCTTTAGTGAAAATCAAATGATGTTACAAATATCCAAATGGACCTTGTCAGAAAAAGACTTTCCCACTCCTGGGATAGGAGTTAGTAAATGTTATATCCCTACAAAAGGAAAATCAAAGGTAAAATGCATAAAAGACACAATAATTAATACTTACCTGGCAACTGTTTACTAACATACTTGGAAAACACTATTGAAAAAATATTAGAAATTTACAGGAAAAATTAGGGACCTATGGTTGCTATTCTTGAAACTAGTATATAAAATATACATTATCTTTCTGTTAGAAAGTAGGTTTTGATAGAAAAAAGGGAGATTTGAGAAAATTGTAAAATTTCTTAAATGTGGAATGTTTTAAGCAAGGGAACAGTTTAAAATTAATTTGAAAAAATATAAAAACAACATTAGACCAGTAGTGTGTTTGTTGTTCTTGTTGTTTGCTTTGTGCCAGTACTAGGACTTGAACTGAGGGCCTTATACTCTTGACTTTTGCTGCTCAAGGCAGTTGATCTACCACTTCAGATATACCTCCACTTCAAGCTTTTAGCTGGTTAATTGAAGATAAGAGTCTCATCAATACCAGATAATATGTTGGAAATGAACTTTTTACAACTTGGGGGAGGTAATTAAGGGAAGAGATACTGGGAGAAAAATGAGGGAGTAGGTAAAAATGTTTGACAAGAAATGTACTCCTTACTTATGTAACTGTAACCCCTCTGTACATCACCCTGACAATAAAATCAAACAAAAAGAGTTCCATGGATTTTTCTGCCTCGGCTTGCTTAAAAGCTCATTCCAGAGATCATAGCCTCTTTTAGTGCTAGGGTTACAGGAATGAGTCACCCAGCTCCCAATCATGTATTTGGAATGAGTCACCCAGCTCCCAATCATGTATTTAATGTGTCCAAAAGAACCACATTTGTAGGCCAGAAGAATTTTGAGGAATTAATTCAACTAATAATAATTAACTTTACTATGTAAAGGTGATGTGTAAGGTGCTATACTCACTATGGTATGGTTATTTGAGTTCTTGTCTTTTGAACTTAAGGAGATCCACTGTGAGGGTATAGCCAGGCACTGGTGGCTCATGCCTGTAATCCTAGTTACTCAGAAGACTCAGATCTTAAGGATCACAATTTGAAACCAGCCCAGCCCAGGCAGAAATGTCCATGAGACTCTTTTATTTTATTTTTTAATTGTAAAGATACTTTACAGAGGGGTTAGAGTTACATGAATAAGGTAATGAGTTCATTTCCTATTGAGCAGTGTTACCCCTCCTTTGTTTTTTCCCTATTCTCCCTTCCCTCCCCACCTCCCCAACTCCACCCACTGAACCAGCCAAGTTGTAAAGTTCTTTTCCAACATAGTGTCTTGTACATCTCACTGTTACAATGGGTCAACCTGTATCCTGGTTTTGTTATTTCCCTTCCCCTCCACAAATTAGGAAAATGTATATACAAGATGCAGGACACTGGAATGAAATATAGGAAATCAAATATAGTGACAAGGGTTATACCATGGGGGAAGAACATACATAAAAACAAAAAATCACATAGTACATTAAAAGAAAAAGCCTCTGTGTCCCTATCTTGGGGTTCATTTTGCTTAGCATCATCTTACGTGGTCATATGTACACAGCTCTTGACCTTTTCTGCTTGTCTGACAAGATTATCCTAGATGTATGCTAGTTATTACAAATAAGGGAAACCATGGGACCTATGTTTCTTTGGGCCTGACATACTTCACTTAATATACTTTTTTCCAAGTCTTTCCATTTCCTAACAAATGGGGCAATGCCATTCTTTCTGATGGAGGCATAGAATTCCATTGTGTGTGTGTGCGCACACACACACACACACACACACACACACACACAACTGAGGAGCATCTGGGTTGGTTCTATATCTTAGCTATGGTGAATAGTGCTGTGATAAACATAGTTGTGCTGGTAGCTTTAGTATGGCCTTGTTTGTGATTGTTAGGGTAAATGCCAAAAGTGGGTTTGCTGGGTCATAGGGGAGCTCTATGTGGAGTCTTTTGAGGAACCTCCATACTGCTTTCCAAACTGGTTAAACAAGTTTATGTTCCCACCAACAATGCAGTAGAGTTCCTTTTTGGCCACATCCCCTCCAACATCTGTTGTTAGATTTATTGATTATAGCCATTATAACTGGGGTGAGGTGGAATCTCAATGTTGTTTTGACTTGCACTTCTTTTATGGCTAGAGAAGTTGAACATTTCTTCATTTGTCTATTGGCCATTCTTATTTCCTCTTCAGAGAGGTCTAAGTCTTTAGCACAATTATTAATGGGGTGGTTGTTTTTTTTAACATCATATCTTTAATATTTACAAGCTATCAAAAACATCAGAGTTATTGACAAGTTCTTGCCAGTCAGTACTAACATGCCTAATTTACATAGAGGAAGTCAGACTACAGTGTATTTGTAAGAAACAATTTAGAGTTGGTGGACCTGCTGCCAGCCGACACCTGCAGGGCTCTGTCTGAGGGGACCCCCATGGCAGCTTGCTGTGAAAAAAGACAGCAGAGAAAAGCAAGTCCCAAATCTTAGGGGCCAATCCTCACATTGGCTGTATTTGGTTTTGAGGTGATTGTTTCTTTGAGGATTTGTTGTTGGGGAATTTAATTTTTTGAGGTCTAAGTATATTTTAGATATGAGGCCCTTGTCTGTTGTATGGCTAGTGAAGATCTTCTCCCAATCCGTAGGCTTTCTATTGATCTTGCTAGCTATGTTCTTTGCTGTGCAGAAGCTCTGCAGTTTTCATGCAATCCCATATGCCCAAACTTGGCCTGTGCCAAGGAGCCCAAAGTTTCTCCTGTTCCTTCTAGGGTGTCCACTTTGACTTTGAGGTCTTTGATCCATTTGGAGTTGATTCTGGTGCAGGGTCTTATCTCCTGTAATCACTCCAATTAACCAGAAGTAGACCTGTGGCTCAAAGTAGTAGAACACTAGCCTTGAGTAAGGAGGAGAGGGGAAGGCTCAAGGATAGTGTCCAAGCCCTGAGTTCAAGCCCCACGACCAACCAAAATATAAAAAATAAAGATATGGAGTAAAACTGAAAAAATCAGTGGTTCTTAACAGGTGTGAGAGGGTCAGAGAAGTGGCTGAATCTAGGGGGTTTTAAGATACAAGGGCTTCATTCTGATTGGCTGCACCATAGGTGCATGAGGTGTAACACAACCAACCAGAGAAGACCTGTGACTTACTGCAGACCTGAACCTGTAGTCAATCAGGTCTGTTCTTCAAGCTCCCACCCCAATTCTTAGGGAAGTTATTTTATCTCAAATACTGAGAAGAATGGACTTCGGTATAAGGTACAGACTTAGGTCTGTACAGAGGTCTGTAACAGACCACAAAACTTAAGGGGGGGGGGAATGGGTTTGGATGTTTGAAACAAACATGGCTTCTGGGGTCATTTGTTAGGTCGACAATTCTTTTCCATTGCAAGGTGTTGATCTCTTTTGGTATTTAACACCACCTATTCAACTGCTTTATACTTCAGTGGAAAAAGGAAGGGTAATATGAAGGAATTCATGCTGGTCTCCTATTAATCCCACTCACCAATGTCCTTCATATCTTCCTTTTTTCCTAACTAGAGTTCATTTCTTTTAGATTGAGGAGAGGTGAGAATTACTTAGAGATGATTATGTGTGATTTGCTTTTAGAATTCTTGTATGTAACCCAGCACATAGATTATGAAATGTCAAGGCCCAGAATTAATTTTTTTTCCCTCTGATTTGCTTGTGGAATCCTCTGTTCCTCTGGATCCAGATCAACAATCCTCTTTACCTCTAATTGTATTTCTAAATGAATACTCATCCACTCTCATGTAAACCAACTGTTCCTTTGCTCTTCATGCCTTCTTGGTCTAATATGCTACTCATACTTGTTTCAGGCTTCCATTCACTGCTCGCCTACTGACAGCAAAAGGTCAAGTCTTGCCACACTTCTGACTGGACTTCCAAATGGCTGATCCTGCAAGACAACCTCACTCTTCAATTTACAACTGACAACATAGCCATTGTTTCAACCTTTTTATCACTGGATGGCTTTACCTCCAAGTTTAAAAAACAATTTTGTGTCAAAAGTTTCCTATCCTTTTAGCTGCCAAGCCAGTGAACTCTGAGAGCCTTTCTTGTACCTAGGTGAAACTTCTTTCATCAAATACTCTTAACAGTTTGCTCTTGACCTGACTTCCAAATCTTGTCTGCAAAATTTAAAGAGCATGTCTGTGCAATGTGAGTGGAAAGCACATTTCTCTACATTTCTCCAGTGAATAACCTTGAGTGATCAAGCTGTTTCTTTACATGATATCTCTTTCCATAGAATATATCTTAGGACAATATTTCATCCAATCTATGTATTTTTTCATCTAATCTATATATCTTTCTAGATCCTTGAATATTTTTATTGAAAAACTGTAAGCTTTTCAAAAATCGATGTTCTGTTTGAAAGTAGTTCTGTTGCTAAATACAAAAATTGATTAGCAAGACTGTTTAAAAACTTTAGTTTGGTAAGAAGTTATCACATTTGGGTGAGATGTAGAATATGAAATGTTTGGCAACAGCCCTAAGACTGGTAAGCAGACCATAAACTAGTTATCATTTCCAGAAGAGGACTCATTTCTTATCCATTGCATCTTGGTTTAAGAATCACCAAGGAAAATACAGCACAGCATCGGATGGAACAAGGTATTCCTTACATACAGCAGATACAAGATTAGTTCCAATAGTATGTGTGAGTCTCTTATACATAGTACTTCCCTAAAGAGCCATGCAGGGAAATTTGCCTATGCATTTCTCTTACACCACAGTGGAATGATCCTGACTCCTTCCCCAGTAGATTCTGACAGGATCACATACACATGTATGGACAGAACAAAAGAACACTCATTGAGCCTGAATGGGAAAGATATTCTCACACAAGTCTCAGACTGTGTTGGCTCTTTATCTCTTAGAGAGCGTTCAAAGGCTGACTCTGATGGGAGGGTTGGGAGAGGGTATCATAGGACTCTGCACCTTTCCCAACACAGCTTTCCGTTCAAATAAAACAGGAAAAGGAAAAGCTCACTCTCCCCCAAATCTGATGAAAAATTGCTTACCTTGGAAATTCTTTCCCTTGGCTACACCAAAGAAATTGTAACGAAAACATAGTAATTTTTAAGCAGCTGGAACTGGGAAACTTGTGAAAGCCATTCATCCTCATCTACCTACATTCCTTAATGAAAGAAGATTGATTGAATAATTGCTTTTCTCCCTCATTTTTAAGGCTAGTAGGTGGCTTCTTTTCTACTCTAACATAATGTTGGGCAAGCTACCTAACCTCTCAGTCTTATTCTGTGAAATAAAGTTTCTAATACCCAGGTCAGTCATATTATTAAAGATAAAATGATATTAAAGATAAAAGGCTTCTAAGGACTGGCATAGACATAGGAACTAGGTAAACATTATCTACCATTAGTTCTGTAGCCAGTTGATACCTGGAGCTATACCACCAAGTTCATTTATCAGGAAAAGCCCTGATAGGAGTAAATGTAACATATACAGTTGGATTTTTCGGTAGGCAAAAAGTCTTGCCACTATGCTGCTTTAAGAACCACCATATTTGTAAAGAGCAGACATTCCTTTCTCACAATTCTGGAGGCTAGGAGCTCCGGGGTTCACTGTTGCTGGAAACTAGTCTCTGCTTCAAAGATGGGGTATGGGGTGTGTTCACACATGACAGAATAGTGGAGTGTAAAATGAGACAAATGTCACGTTCTCAATGGATAAGGAAAGAGGCTACAAAGGGCCTTTGTAGTTCTTTCTAGCCCTTTTCTATGGCATCGATCTCACCCATGAAAACAAAGACCTCATGGCTTAATCATCTCCTAAAGATCCAGCCTCTAAATACTGTTATACAGGGTACTAAGTTTCAACATAAATTTGAAACATACAAACCATAGTAGGCCTGTAGACAATGAAAACTAGGTTGACCATGGGGTTTGAACTGGTCGGGGTCTGGGCACTGTCCAAGGATAGAGCTCTACTACTTTGAGCCACAGCTCCACTTTTGGTTTTCTAGTGGTTAATTGGAGCTACGAGTCCCATGAACTTTCCTGCCTGAGCTGGCTTTGAACTGTGATCCTCAGATCTCAGCCTCCTCAGTATATAGGATTATAAATATGAGCAACCTAGAAGAAAGAAGGATGGCCAATAGACACATGAAGAAATGTTCAACATCCCTAGCCATAAAAGAAATGCAAATCAAAACAACATTGAGATATCACCTCACCCCAGTTAGAATGGCAAAAATCAAGAACTCTAACAACAACAGATGCTGGAGGGGATGTGGACAGAAAGGAACCTTACTTCATTGTTGGTGGGAATGTAAACTTGTTCAACCACTTTGAAAAGCAGTATGGAGGTTCCTCAAAAGACTTCACATAGAACTCCCCTATGACCCAGCAATCCCACTTTTGGGCATTTACCCAAATGTTTACAAACAAGACCACACTAAAGCTACCAGCACGAATATGTTTATTGCAGCATTATTTACCATAGCTAAGATATGGAACCAACCCAGATGCCCCTCAGTAGATGAATGGATCAAGAAAATGTGGTATATATACACAATGGAATTCTATGCCTCCATCAGAAAGAATGACATTGCCCCATTTGTTAGGAAATAGAAAGACTTGGAAAAAATTATATTAAGTGAAGTAAGCCAGGCCCAAAGAAACATAGGTCCCATGGTTTCCCTTATATGCAATATCTAGTATATGTATGAGTCAAGCAGAAAAGGTCAGATAATGTGATGTCAGGAAAATGAACCATTAGATGTGTATTTTAATGTTTTTTTCTTTCATGCATGTGTTTCTAATGCATTTATAAGATTATCTCTTTGTTGCTTTGTATGTCCCTCCCCCACAGTATAACCCCTGCTTTCACTATATTTGATGTCAGTATAACTTGTGGAGGAGATGGGGAAAAACCAGTTGTTTAAAGATACAGGTGGACCTGTTGCAACAATGAGAAGTACAAGTTGTCATGTCCAAAACGAGCTTTACAACGTCAGTGCGGTGGGGGGGGGGGGGGAAGGAGAAGGATTGGGATGGGGGGGAGGGGGGAGGCTGGGAAGGGATGTGAAGGGTAAACAAAGGAGGAGGATGCAATGCTTGGTAAGAAATGTACGCATTATCCTGCCCATGCAATTGTAACCCCTCTGTACAGTATGTTCACAAACAAAAAAAAATTTAAAAAGATTAAAAAAAATAAATATGAGCAACCTTGCCAGTGTAGATCCTGACTGGAAGTTATTTTTCAAATTCAATTTTACTTCCATCCATCTCAGAAACTAGTAACCCATTCTTTGATTAGAAAAAAGCTACAGTAAATTTGTATTCCTAAAATACAAGCCCAATGAATACATCTGAGGCCAATTCAGAGAATTATTTATTCACACAAAGCATTATTTTACCAGCTTCAAATATAGTCCATTAACTAGGGAGCCACTAGAAGTTTAGAAATGAATAGACTAGAGCTACACAAACCAATACCAATCTTTTAAAATCAATAATCCAAAATAAATGCGATTAGGTATCAGATTACATATTTGTAACTTAAAAAAAAGCATCATGTCCTTTGCCAAAGTAGAAACTACCATGACTACACATATTCTTTACCTTGATCATGAGTAGGAACTTCCTTTCTTAATAACTTTTTGTATTTTTAACACAAATTCCAATGATTGAATCAAAAAGTAAAAGTAAACTGATCTCTGTTCATACTTTCATTCTTATAAAGTAGTTACTAGGCTTACAGAAGCAGATATTGGTAAAATGATTTATGTACCTATTTGTCCAATTAAGCTGATAATATCACTTCACTTTATTACTAATACTGAAAAATTATCTAGGCTCCTAATATATTACTACTAGTCTCAATCTCCAAAAGACTTAAAGATGTATTTTGTTCATTTCAACTCAGAAAGCCATCTCATTTCCTAACAGATGGGTAAGCTACCAAGTAATCTTCTAAGACTTCCCTGATTTGAAGTCTTTTAAAATGTTGTCTGAGAATTTTTTTTAAATTGTAACATTACTGCTCTTGTTTAGCTTATATACTGAAAATTCAAACGGGGCATCTATAAAGATCCACAATTAGTGCAAAAAGAGGAGACAATATTTTCAATCTGTTTCAGTATAAATAGAACTAAGGTACTACATGTGAGGTTTATGTAAATATATAACTTCCTATTTGACTTTCTAAATGCTAGCAAATACAAAAATAGTTCAGGGTTAGGTTAAATTAGGTTAAAGCACATATATTAAAGCTTTATTTTAACTGCAAAAATACTGTAGCCACATTCAGGAGAAAATAAACTTATTGAGACTACTGTGTGCATATTTCCAAAGTCCAGTGCAAGAATGCTGATTATTTTCCTTGCAAGTAGAATACAAGCTCCAAAAAGTGGGACTGTCACTTTACAGGAATAAATGCATTTAAAAAATATTGACTCATCTGGGGAGAATTCCACCACTGGACTATTTAACAAAATTTCTTCCATGTGATAAGGCTTTGGTATAGGTTACTTCCTAGTATTTCCATCACTTCTCATCCTTCTTTGTCTCTTTCTTCTCTACTTCCTTGGTCTCTTCATCCTCTCTTTTCAAGTCTGCATTTCCTGCTGCTCCTTGAATTTCCTTCTGAGAACTGTCGATGATCCGATAGTCCTCAAGGAGTGTCTGTCCTGTTTGTTTTGCAGTTTTCTTCACCATGGCTTTGATACCAATGTTGTCAATGTTGTAGGCAGCTACACCAACGTTGATAGCAGAATCCACTGCACTATGTGTAGCTTCTCCTGCATTATGCCCGTATCTTAATTTTAAAAAAGTACAATAAAATTATAAATATAAAATAAGGAATTCTGAAGTTAGTATTAAATAAACCTTCAGTTACCCTTGAAGGTAAAATCTTAACTTTCAATTTCATTAATAGCTTAAAACACAACCAAGAATGAAATCATAACATTTATAATTTATGTGAAAATAAACTCATATTAGATGAGAATAAAGACTGTTCAATAAAAATGAAATGTAAATAAGTGGCTATTAGCCAGTCATTAAACACACCAAGCACTTTGTTCTGGCCTGGACTACCTGTGATTCAGTGTCTCCCCATTCTCAAGTCATCTAGCTATTATTTTCTCAGTATCCAATCTTTTAAATAGCCCATCTCATTGCCAAACTCACTCTTAATTGCTCTTTCTTCTATCATGTATCACCTTTTACATACCATACAGAATTTACGATTGTTTATATCTTGTCTCACCAAATCAACTCCTTTTTACTGTGTTCATTAATGAATCCTATACATCTAGAAGAGCGCCTCTGGGCCAGAGTGCTGTTTGAGACTCTTATGCTCAAGGTGAGCACTCTACCACTTGAGCCACAGTGCCACTTCTGGCTTTTTTCAGTAGTTTATTGGACATGAGTCTCATGGAAGTTCCTGCTCAGGATGGCTTTGAACCACAGATTCTCAGGTCTCAGGCTCCTGAGTTGCTAGGATTATAGGTGCGAGCCCAGCTCATTCTAAGTTTTTTGAGCATCATATCCAGAAATATTTACACACTCATATTTACCACTGCACTATTCACAACACTGTAGAATAGTGTCCATAGCATAGGTGTCCATTATCTGATAAAGAAAATGCATTATATATACAACGGAGTATTTGTAAGCCATAAAGAAGGATGAAATTATATTATCTGCAGGAAAATGGATAGAATTGGAGATTATCATGATAAACAGAATAAGCCAGTCTCACTAAGATAAATACCCTGGTTTTCTCCCTTATAGAATTTAGAGGGTAGAAAAGGACATGAAAGTAAAAAGGGAACTTTCAGGGATGTGGAAAAGGAGAGGAGGAAGGAAATGTAAGAAAGGAAATTAGAGGGAGTGAATATGACTAAAATACATGTATCCATGGACATGGATCCACTTGCATAGTACATGCTAACAAAAATTTTAAAGTTATGTGAAAAATTATAAAATATGTATAAGAATACTTATTACCAACCACAACAATAGCCAGTATCTTTCTTTAATACTATGTTCTAAAAATATATATAATCTGGCTCATTATGGTGGCTCAAGCCTGTAATCTGAAGTACTTGGGTGGGAGAGACCAAGGCCCATCTGGACATAAAAATTCAGGAAACACCATCTTAACCAAAGGCTGAGTGCAGTGGTATGTACCTGTTACCCAGTTACAAGGGAAAACACAATGGCTAGGCTCTGTGGGATGCATCCAGAAACAGGAGGAAGCACTGTAGGAGATATGTAGCCAAGGCTGGCTCTGGCATAAAAGCATGAGCCTACCTTGGGTATGAAATCCTACCTCAAAAACAACCAAGGTAAACATGGGCTGGAAATATAGTTCAGGCACAGATGTAGCTGAGGTGGTAGAGTGACTCCCTTGAGCACATGAGGAGTGCAATACTCCAGACCACCCCCCTCTGCACTCCTATACAAGAATACCAAAAGCACACCTCCCAGTAGTTGCTTTAGTCTGTATACCGTTTTCCCCAGAGCCAAGCTTTTAAAATTCTTTTAAAATTCTTATCTATTTCCCCAAGTGGTAGATTGCTTAAACAATAAAAAAGGCAAATCTACATTTCTGCATATCATGTTTCATAGGTGCTTTGAGATCTGTACTTGAACAATTCACATTAACACTGGATCTACCTTTGGGATTAACAAAATTCTCTGTTACTGTTAACCTGGACTAGAACAGTGTTATGTGACCCACTGGCTTCTCTGAGCTTGGTTATTTCCTAGTACTAGTGTTGTAAGCATAAAGTAATCGTACTATGGCCCTCAATGAATTCGATTCTACCTTTTGCTTCAAGTTTGTAATTATAATTACAACAAACATAATACAGTATAATACTGTATTGTAATATACATATACATGCATGTACATACATAGGTACATATAGAGAGAGAGAGAAGAGAGAGGGTGAGAGAGAGATTGATTCTGCCTAAATACAGATAAAGGCAGAAGCTGTTGTCAGCTGAACTTTAAGTGTGTGTGATTCTGGACTAGGGATTTTTCTCATCCCCAGGGCTGCCTATAACTGTACCCTGCCAGTTCCTGCTGTTTGCAATCCCTCAGCATTCCAAGGATTTGTTGATGGTATAGAGGCTTCATAGAGAAGGGAAGCAGTCATGAACATGACTGACAATGGCTAGAACTACATGAGATGACTAGGGTGGTGGCTTTTTAGCATTGGAAAAGTGATCCTAACTCTTGGTCTCATGTTTACCTCTATAGCACTATGTGAACTACAGTCATCGTAACTCAGGAATTTAAGTCCCACTCACGTTTTCAAGTGCAGAAAATCCCCCAGACTTAAAAACTTCCACTGGATTTGGAATGTTCCCTATTTTACTGATGCAGTTTATTAACTCTCACAACACTTACAGTATTTTTATGTATATCACATTTCTAAAAGCTATACTGTCTTTAATAATGATGATTTTGTTCTTCCATGCTATCTGTAGCAATTCTTTTTAAACTGGAAAAAAGTATCAAACTAGGAAGCAGGGAACTATATTCTAATATCAATTGGCTACATAACCTTAGCCAAGTCTCCTGCATTTCATCTCAACTTATAAAATAATATGTAACTGAAAGCATTTTTGAAAGTTCTAAAGTACTAAACATCTATTAAATAGCTTTACATTAGCTTTATTTACTTATTTAGCTGGTATGAGAATTTAAACTCAGGGCCTCAAGCTTATCTTCCAATCATGGCTGATACTCTACCAATTGAGCCTTATCTCCAGACTGGCTTTTTTGCTGGTTAATTGGAGGTGGAGTCTTGGAGACATTTTTGCCTGGGCTGGCTTTGAACCTTGATCCTCAGACCTCAGGCATCTGAGTAGCTAGGATTATAGGTGTGAGCCACTGGGGCTTGGCAGTTTTATTTTTTTTTAATATAACCACACCTATTAACTTTCCTTCTAAATATGCTTTGCAATCAGTTTTACAAACACCTATTCATTTCTAGTCAATTATTCAGTCCTTCTCTTCATTTAGATTCAAACTATAGTATTAAGTCTTAGAAAGCATATCTTCAATAAAAACTTATTTTTGATCTCTTTAAAATAAGTTAACTTTAGTTGGAGTTTCAGTTAGATTTTATGTACAAACACTGTCAATAGAAAAAAGTAAAAATGAATGTGCATTATATTCTAAATAAATCAGTGGGACTTAATTTATTGTTTGAATTATTTTTAGAAAATTTCTCCAATGTCTTCAGTGCATTCTACAGAGGACACTGGAAGTGATTTTAGATTTTACTAACTATAGCATTTAAGCAATAACATATTTCAAATAAATCTACCAGAAGGTCAATTTATATGCAACCTTCAAAACTATTCTCAGAAATACTATCTTGAAATAAAATAGAAATACCTCTCTATTCATCTAAGTATTAAAAGTTGGCAGGAAGTACCTGGTTTATGAATGGTCTAGTAGGTGAATCTATGGACTCAAGTTTAATCTTGGAGTTAATAGGCAATTTAATTTAGGCAAGTGGTTATGATCTAACAGTATGACAGGACCTATGCTTTAGCAAGCTCTAATTGTTTCATAAATTGAAACAGGAAACAAGTGAGCCTGATTTGAAATAATGTAGGCCTATTCTAAGTGGCTGATAAAAAAGCAAAAGATATTGGTGGCAGAAAAACCTGTAGTGATATATAATTGGGATGCTTGAGTAAAAAGATTGAGACAAAGCTTACCAGAAAAGACAGACTTGAGAGTTGCTTGTGCAAACATGATAATGTAATGAAGAACAGAAAACAGAATACAATAAAATCTTAGAAAGAACCAAGTTAAGGATAGGTTTGGAAGACAACACTAAGAAAAAGTTTACTAAGACAAAAAGAAAAGGTGACCTAAATGAGAATACAGTTAGATTGAATCCCTCAATCTTTAAAACCACTAAATATTGGAACAAGATTACCAGAAGTAATAAGCATGTAATTAAATGTTATTCATGAGAATTTCTGAAAGAAATCTATACACGTACATAATAAAATCATTACTAGTGATAACACAAATAAGAAGGGTGGCTAATAATGAAGCCAAAATTAAGAAATCAATAACAAATCAAAACTAATGAAGGAAAATTAAGTAGTATAATGAAAGAATCCAATTTTACAAAAATGCAGCAATTATCCAAAGATAAATTAATGGTCTAGACTTTAATAGCTTATTTTTCAAAAAGTGACAAGTTTGATATGGGTCATTAAAGAAACAGCCACTAAAAACATACATTCTGTCTTAGGCCTTCCTTATCAAGTGAAAAATATGACCAAAATAAGGAAGTAAATCTCACCATATCTAATCTGATTACAACAGATAACAAAAATCAGATTCTATTCCAATGCCATATTTTGAGAAGACTGATAAACTAATGTGTTCCTAACAAAATAAAATAGAAATAAAAGAGAATAACAGAGCCCTTCATATAGAGGATTAAGGAACTGACAATACTTAGAAGACAAGAAAACCACAACTGATGAGCAAAACAGTGTTATGTATGCATTTGCATAGATATTCTATGGAAAACAGTGGAATGATTCATATAATTCCTGAGTGGATGTGATGTACATTTGGTTTCAGGCAATATGATAGCAACCACTGGAATTATTCACACACTCTTGCGAAGTTAAAAGAGTATTTAAATTAAATTTCACCATAATAACCAATAAAGTACTATGCCATAAAGTAGTAAATTTCTTATAGGAAAATATTATCTAGCTCATTTTCCACAAATATATATTCAAAAATAAAATATTGTAAGGGGAAAATAACAATAGATCTAACTTACTGATATTTTATATTCTCCTTTAAACAATTTAAAGTGGAACAAAAGGAGCTTAAAGGTGAAATCTAGAAGCTAGGTAGAAGTGTGGTGAATTATTTAACAGTGCAATTAAGTATAGTAGTTTACAATCAGTTATTGCTTTCCACTGTGTCAATGTCTGACAAAAATTGTTTAAAATGAGTCTTAAAAGTTCCCATATAGGGCTGGAAGGTGGCTTAGAAGTAGAGTGCTTGCCTCGTATGCATGAGGCCCTGGGTTTGATTCCTCAGCACCACATAAATAGAAAAAGCCAGAAGTGGTGCTGTGGCTCAAGTGGTAGAGCATTAATCTTGAGCTGAAGTGCTGAGGGGAAGTGCCTAGGCCCAGAGATCAAGCCCTAAAACCGACCAAAAAAATAAATATATTTACCTAAAAATGGTATAAACTGATCCTTTACATTACCTTATACCATTAGAAATCAGATAAGAACGCTTAAATAGTACATTTGGGGTTTTTTCTGACATAATGTATATAAATAATGTGGACTCAAAACGACTACCTGGGAGAATATTACAGACAATGAAAACATGAATTTATTATACTGAATCAGCTGTATTAGAAAAGAAAATCATAAATATTTAGTTTTTAAAGGAAAATAAAGATGTATGGAGATGTAGAACATATAGCATTTCTATAAACAAAAGAAGGAATGATGAGTTGATTTGGTCAGTTCTATCACTAAGTTATTGCTGACTTGGTATTTTTTAAGTTTCTTCCCTTAAAAGGCATTTTCCATTTCTAGACCAGACTGCTTCTCAACCAAAGATGAGAAAACAGGATTACCTAGACAAAATCCTTTATTTCTCAAGCATCTCCTTCTTTCTAAAATCCTAATAGAAATTTAATTACTTCCGAGACCAAGTCATCTTTATAGTAATAATACAAAGCTATTCAGCTAAATTCTCACCCAAGTTAACTTGAGAGTAAAGGATGAAAAGAATACCAAAGAGTATAAAAGAAATATAACTTCTGTCAAAATATCCCACATATAATATTATATCCTTTTCACTAAGAACTTATAAAAAGAAAAATCTATACCAAAACCTAGTACTTCCTGTATATGTGAGTCTTAAACCTGAGAAACTCTAACATGCATGTCTACTGCCTAATTATCTGTGTGAACAAATGATAGTGATAATTTAAACATAATTCGCTTTTGGTCTAATAGTCACTTCTGATTTTATATGGCTGTTGCTAGGAAAGAAACTTTCCCAATTCATACTGATCCATTAAAGTAAAACTCAGACACACACACACACACACACACACACACACACACACACACACACACACACACTGAATATTAGAGGTCAATGCCACAATTCTAAGAGGTAAACTGAAAGATTTGAGTTTTTACATTTCTGTCAAAAGGGATTCAGATGTATTCTGTATTTTCTGCACACACACACACACACACACACACACTTAGAGGTCAATGCCACAATTCTAAGAGGTAAACTGAAAGATTTGAGTTTTTACATTTCTGTCAAAAGGGATTCAGATGTATTCTGTATTTTCTGTTCCAACTCTCACTTAAAAAGTGACGATCCAGGGCTGGAAAGTTGGCTCAGTGGTAGAGTGCTTGCCTCACATGCATGAGGCCCTAGGTTTGATTCCTCAGCACCACATAAGCAGAAAAAAGCTGGAAGTGGCTCAAGAGGTAGGCGCCTTGAGCTGAAGAACTGAGGGACAGCACCCAGGCCCAGAGTTTAGCCCCATGACCAATCAAAAAAAAAAAAGTGATGATCCAAGATGTGTCATATTGCTTTGATTCGAAGGTCCACATGTTCCAGATTGAGCAAATCAAGCTGATTTAGGATGGAAATTAAGTTTTAGTATTTCTGATGCCAAAGAGCATAAAAAGTATGTTTTAAAGTGTTAGAAAATAAATCTATAGAGTGCAAAACTTGCACAGATGGGTACATCAAGGGCAGAGAGGCCCAGGACTATTCTCTGCACTGCAGAGCACAGGTTGTAACACATTTGGTTTATATTTTAGTTCTACAACTCAATTTAATGTTTTATGCTTTGTATTACTCAACTATAAAATGGAGTTAACTGTTAAAAGCTAAAGGCAATGAACACATCGACTAATAAGTAATTATAAACTAAAAACTAATGTTGTCAGTAAGTGAGTAACCAAGAGTAATGAACAGCATAAGTATTACTCCTCTTTTAAAAGAAAAATTAGGTCTAAACTCATTCAGTTACAAAAGCAAATTACGTCCTTCACATTTTGGCACTGACTAGATAGTATAGTAGGACAAAATATAAAGAACATCTGATCAAAGAGTACATTGTATAGATTCATGAAAATATTAAAAAGAAACCAGCATTTTGTACAATATGTTCTAATGAAAGTGGTAAAAACTACAAAAAAAGAACAAACAACTAGAAGATCTTTTCTTAACTCTTTAAAAATCACTTGTTATAATTTTTTTTTTTATTGAAGGCTGCTGCTTCGGCATCCATTTTTAGGCATGACTTAAACTGTGTGAAATCCTACCACCTTTGGCCTAGTTAAAACTTCATCTTCTTTGTTTTTAATTCCTTTGTAATAAAGCCCAATCTCACTGACTCACAGTTGCTGGCCAGTCATGTGAGTTTGGCTAGTTTACCTGAAAAGGGACACCTATTAATTAGAAAGCCAAAGGAGTAGCACTCATGGATTTTAACAAGGCACCCAAACTCATCCTCCTGTCTCTGTCTCTCTCTTCACCTACAGTTTCTTCCCTGTTGTCTTTAGACTTCCTGTCAGTACTTATTTATAATCTTCTTCTCTAGTAAATCTATCCTAAAATATTTATACTATTTCCCATGTTTTATTGTGTAGTCCCCTTTGTGTCTCACCTGACCAATACACACAAATCTAATTCTTTTACCAGTCATTGGTCTCCTAAAGAGTCCTAGAGATTACTTCTCTAGTAGGAATATAGATCAGACAAAGAACAAATACAGGTCTGAAAAGAGCCCTAAGAGTGTCTGTACAACAAAACAAGTTTTGCAGGGCGCTAGTGGCTCACACCTGTAATCCTAGCTATTCAGGAGGCTGAGATCTGAGGATCATGGTTCAAAGCCAGCCTGAGCAGGAAAGCCCTGAGACTTATCTACAATAAACCACTCAGAAAACTGTTAATAGGGCTGTGGCTCACGTGGTAGAGTGTTAGCCTTGAGTTGAAGAGCTGAGGGACAGTGCCCAGGCCCAGAGTTCAAGCTCCACAACAACAATCAAACAAACAAACAAAATCAAGTTTCTTCTGAGAGGGACACTTGGGTTGTATATGAGGATAAAGTAGTAACCTAGAAAGTTGTACTGGCCTACCTTGCCCAGTACCAACTGAGCAGGACTTAAATTTATAATCACTCTCTAGAGACTGCAAAGCCATATTAGAAAAAAATGATACTAATTAGTGGATATACTTGCTCATTTCTATGTTTGCCTATTCTTTAACACATGAAATAGAAGATCTACCATCATTCATTCCAATATAAATAGTGGTGATTAGTGAAGATGTGTCATAATTTAGAAGTCATGGTACAGAGAATGAGCTAAGGAAGGATGATGTACTTAGTCAAGTTTATCTAGGCAGATATCACCATTGACAAAATATAGTTAACAGCATATACAAAAATTCTAGACTTTAAAAAGATATACCTATTATTCTCTTTATGGATGATGGACATTTATAACAATTAATAACATAAAGCAAAGTCATATGAATTCTATTAAAACTTTTCTTAAGCTGGTAGCGGGTGGCTCACACCTGTAATCCTAGCTACTCAGGAGGGTGAGATCTGAGGATCGTGGTTCAAAGCCAGGCCAGGCAAGAAAGTCCATGAGACTCTTATCTCCAATTAACCATCAGAAAACTAGAAGCAGAGCTATGGATTAAAGTGTATAACACTAACCTTGAGTGAAAAAAGCTCAGGGACTGTGTCCAGGCCCTGAGTTCAAGTCCCCCGGCTGAGAAAAACAGAATCAAAAACTTTTCTCCAAATTTAGAAAACAGTGAAACAATGCATTCTGTCAAATAAAAATATTAAAAAAAAACAATTACAGAGCCAGACACTGGTGGCTCATACTTGTAATCTGGCTCCTCAGGAGGCTGAGATATGAGGATTGCAGTTTGAAGCCAGCCTGGGCAGGAAAGTCCATGAAACTCATCTCCAATAAACTACTCAGAAAAAGCTGGAAGTAGCACTCTGGCTCAAGTTGCAGCCAGCCTTGAGCACAAAGAGGCTCAGGAACAGTGCCCAGGACCAGAGTTCAAACCTCAGGACCAGAAAAAAAATTACAGTAACATCTTAACTCTCGTGATTTTAAGTAAGTGACAAGAGAATTAATCTTGAAAGTAAAATAAAATTTAACTTACTTGTATCTGACAGTCTGTACAGTTTCTGCTGAAACATTATTAACAATGCATCTAGCTGCACATTCCAAGCCCTGCCAGACAGTTGAAAATCCTGTAAATATATTAAAAGTAAACAAATCATGCTCAAAGAAAACAAGACTTTCCTATATAAAACTCTTCTAGTTAGGTATAAACTTGTCTAGCATGTACAAAACCTGTGCTTGATTCCTAGCATTATAGTCAGTTACTAAGAAATAAACATATAAATAAGTAAATTTAAGAAAAACAATTAATTTAACTCCAAGATGTTTTATTACCTTGAACACTACTTGCTGCAATCACCATTGCACCATCCAGGGTAGATTTTCCATCTTTGTCCCTTTTAAGAGCTTCAGGAACAAGTTTGCTTCCATGCTTCTTGACATGTGGAGCTAGTTCTTTACCAACACAATTTGCTACAGTACAAACTCCATCAACTAATTAAAAAAAAAAAGAAGCTTACTTAGAAACACTGTTATTCTCTTGGTTTTTACCATTCATATTTAGCAAAATTCTACCTATGGGAGACAGTCTACTGCCTGTTTTTAAACAAAGTCTATCACTCATCTTTCAGGTGAGTTTGCACCTTATATTAATAACCTTGCCTCTTGGATATACATGCTCTTTTTCTGTTTAAAAGAAAATTACCTACATTTTTTATGATTTCTGCAATACACACCAGGTAGGGGCACAATTAATGTTACATTTCTTTTCTAGCTAAGCATAGTTATATTTTCTCTCTTCTCAGAAAATATGGCAAATAATAGCACAGTTTTTAATTCTATAAAAGAAACAATCCCAAATCTGGTTAAAAAATACTAAATACCAAGAGAAAGATAATTTCAGTATATTTAGTGGCAATCCATATTAAAAACCTGTTTTAGTGCTGTGATTCTCAAAAGATAAAGAAAGAGGCATGGTGCTGGGAAGCCTGGCATCAGAACTACAACAACAGCTTTTCTCAAACGACATATCCCTTGATACTTGACCTGCAACCACTATAAAGTGAGCTGCAATCTCCTGAAGCATACGTCATTTCCTCAGATGGAATCAAGGATAGTAAATACATTCAGAACTCATTCAAAGACTTACATACTTTACTCTCCAACACCATATCTCAACATTTAATATGCAAAATGAATCACCTAGGAATCTTGCAGACGCAGATTCAGAACTGGATATGTGTGCCTGCATTCTGTGTTTCTTGGGTTTCCAGACAAGCCTATATTGTTGGGGTCTAAAAGTCACACTATGAGTAGAAAGGTGCTGTATATTCTTTGAGATTATACCATCTAAATCAACATTGTAGATTAACCATGGATTAAGAAATTATTGTACTCGTTACCTTAGTTATATAACTGTAACCCTCTCCATATATCAACTTTACAATAAATTTTTTAAAAGAAATTATTTCAAGTTTAACTGAAAAGAAACAATGAAGCCTCAAGTCACCTTACCTAGGAACTGACTGACTTTTGCTGCTCCACCAGTAGCCTGCTTCGCTATATAAAGTCCCTTGGTGACAGCTGGACTAACTTCTACTGGTTTTTCTTCTGGCTGAAGCCGTTCTCGGAGTTTAGACGCACCTTTCTGGATTGCTTTGCCGGTAAATTCAGCCCCTTTAACTAAGCCCCAACTCACCCAGGAAGCTCCTTTAAAGGGAAAATGTACAACTGATCAGTATTAAGACCAATTATTCCTTTAAACCTTTTATAAGTAACAACTGCCAGAAAAAAAACGAGTCAATATTCAGATCCTGTCAACTATACTATAAACTTGCAAGCCTACTTTGTATCTACATCTATGACAAGAATGCTGCAATACCCAACTTTGCCATACAAGTGTAGGTAATACCCCATGAGTCATCAGTTTTCTACTGTTGAATACTAATTTTGAGTTCTGATGCCAATAAGATAGTACTTGGCAGAAGGACCCAGATATTATTCTTGCTAGCTTATTCCAGTCACCACTTTTCGCCCTTTCTCTAAGGTGGGGGGGGGGGAAGCAAACTAGAAACTAAAGAACTTGTATGTCAAGGAAATGAAAAGGTATGGCAGGTACCTAAAAGTCTATCAGTCTCAAGGTCAATTTCTACACAGTTCAATTTTAAAGTTATTTAACATTTTCCATGCTTGTACATTTGTAAAACTTAGGACCAGTTTTGGTTTTTTTTATTGATCTTTACTCAACCATAGGCTGGGGTAAATGAGCTCAATTTATATTGTGCAGAGCACTCATGAATCAGATAAATAAGTCTCTTGATAGATCAGATAATTTTCCTTATATTAATTCTAAAATATTTTGTGCCATTTTCCTTTTTATTTAAACTAGTACTTCATAAACTAGTTATTCTACCTCTCAAAAAGCAGTATGTAGGGCTGGGAATGTGACTTAGTGGTAGAGTGCTTGCTTAGCATGCATGAAGCCCTGGGTTTAATTCCTCAATACCACAAACAGAAAAAGCTGAAAGTGGTGCTGTGGCTCAAGTGGTAGAGTGCTAGCCTTGAGCATAGAGAGGCTTAGGACAGTGCCCAGGCCCTGAATTCAAGCCCCAGGACTGGCAAAAAAAAAAAAAAAAGCAGTATGTAGTTAATGTTTAACTGTCAGCACCTATGAAGCTATTACTAGAACTTTGAGCCTAAGGATACAAGATGAAAAGAGTTACTAATATGAAGAAACTGAGGTTTCTAATAGCAAAGTCATCTTAAATATTGCCAGAATGCAGTTTTACTCATTTTAAATGATGCGTTGCTGACAGTTATGAATCTCTAAAGATATTTCTCAAGATTATCTGGCCTTAAGAATGTTTTGTTTTTCCATACAATCTCTGTGTCGGATAGGTGTGGAATCTAAGGAGGCGTAAGACTTCGTGACAGGTAGTATTTTAGGAAAATGGCCAAAAACATTATATCCTATTCCAAAATTCCTTCAACATAAAGGTGATATTCTTCCCACTGAGAAGTGGGCCCTGTCATATCCCTTTGAATCTAGGCAGGCTTAGTATGTGTCTGTTACTAAGAAATACTAGGATTTCAAAGCATATGGCAACAGTTTCTTCCTGTTTTGGTAGATGCTTCACATTTGAAACCTGAATCACTATGGAAACCAGACTAGCCTAAGTCCACCTGGTTGTAAGGAAGTCAAGCTGTGAAAAGCCTCATGTGGGCACTCTATTTGGCACAGTTCTAGATTGATTCGAGAGGTGTGAGCAGGAGGAATCTTCAGAGGACTCTGGCAGTTGACCCCTGTAATAACCCGTGGGGCCCAAGTCAGCTTGGCCCCCTGGCCCAGCCTGCTGGAGGGGGCGGGACATCAAAAGGCGAGCCTCACCGCCCCACAGGCCTGGCCACCAGACAGAACAGGGCTTTGAGAGGCTGGCTTCACAGCCCAGCCGGGCAAGGCGGGAGGGGCGTGTCATGCCGCGGAAAGGGGTGGGGCACACCACCAAAAGGGGCGGGGCATGTTGTTGGAGGGGAGGGGCATCGAGTCCCACGTGGTGAGCTGCCTATTGGATTGGAGAGGGGGCAGTTTAGGGCAGGAGCATGAATGGCGGTTTGAAACCATTAGCTGGGGAGGGTGCAGCCTATCTGGGTATATGTAGGCTGGGTGAGGGGGTGAGAGGGTAGAAGAAAAATTGGAGTCCTGAGGAAAGGAGAGGTTAGAGGGAAAACCATTCATGCGGAGTTAGGGAGTGCTGAGGAAGGAGAGGAGTAGGAGTGGAGGAGAGATGGCAGGAGAGGAGCGCTCGCCAGAGCAGGGAGCCTCCATAGGCCATCTGGGGCTTCTTGAGTTCACTCGGGGCCTCCTCACCTCCTCTAGAAGGTGCCTGGAGCAGGGCAGAACAGGGCAGGCCTGTGGAGAGTGGAGAGGCCTGCAGAGGAGGAGGAAGAAGAGAAGACAGGGAAAAGCCTTCTCCTTTGGAGGTTTGGAGCTCTGGAGGTCTGGGGTTGGAGGTTTGTAGTCCAACTAATAAAGGTCGGGGGGTCAGGACTGTCCATTGGAGGCTTGGAGGTTTGGTGGTCAAGGCTGCTCTTGGTTCTGGGTATCTAGCCCAGGACAAGGTAGTCTCAAGACCCCTTTCTGGTGTAAATAAACTTTTGTCCACCTTTCACTGTCTGTGCCTGGATGGATTGTCTTGCTCTCCGGAGATCATAAGTCCCCCAACTGTCAAGTCACTAAGGAGCTAACCATCCTTCCTCAACCAAGGTCCTCAGAAATTACGAAACAGACACAAGCCATTCTGCTGTGACTCACCTTTCTGAATATCTGGCCCACTAATTTCCTAGACAGAAATGTGGTGGGCTTTTTTTAAAAAAAACACAGTAGCAATAATGGCACTTATAGCAGTATAATAATGTAAAAAAATTTAAGGAAATGGCCTTCAAAAGGTTAAGGTGGCCAAGCAAGTTCTCTCAATAGTAGCCTCCTCATAGTGCTTGGCAGCTTAGTTGGCAACAGGGTATTGTAAGTGAAAAGGATTTTTTAAAATTTCATTGAAAATCTCTTCACGAGTCAATGTTAATTCACGTTTGAAAATGTAGCTTCATCTTTTCATCTCAAGCACAGTTGTTTGGCAAGAGGAATAATATTTTATTAGTGCCTGTCTATTTTAGCCAAGTTGTTAGCTATTTATTAGGTCATAAATTTGTTTTACTGAAAGGCAACTAGCAGTATTTTTTTTTAAGCTAAACAGGATGAATCAGAGAACTACTTCAATTGATTAGCTAAATAAAAGGTTAGTTGTAAAGTAGAAAGATATATGTTAGTAATGGTCATTCTAGTTTCAGAATAATTGATCTGGATATCTTTCTAGCCTTAATTTATTAACAGATCTTACTTCCCCATGGGTTTGGCTATATCCTTCAGATCTTCTCAGATTGATTGCAGTGCTATGTACCAAAGGCGTACTGTTTTGCTTCTTGTTCTGATTTGAATATGGACAGTGTCTCCCAAAGGTCTCTATGTTAGTATGAAAGGCTGTCAGGGTGATGCTACTGGGAGGCAGAGTCTTATGAGAGGTCCTCAGGTCATTGTAGTGTGCCCTTAAGGGGGGATTATAGGACCCCAGTCTCTTTCTTCTGCTTAGTGACTCATGATACAAGCAGTCTCTTCCACCATGCACTCCCTGTGCTCCCAGTAATTGCCATCTGGCATATTCCACAGAGACCCACAGTGACGGGGGCTACCCCATCTGAGACTGGAACCTCCAGAATCATAAGCAAATAAACCTATTCTCTTTTTAAAAGTAATTACCCAGATCATCTGTTGTAGCAATAGAAAGTTAACTAAAGTGTTTCCAAAAAAACGTAGGCATATTAAACTGTGGTGCTGAAGCAAAAGACTATAAAGTTGTGGAACAATAAATTTTAGTTCTCATGGTTTGGAGACTAGCAAATCTAAGGTACTGGCAAGGCCTTCTTATTTACTTTAAAATTTTCACTTTTTTTGCCAGTACCCAGTCTTGAACTCAGGGCTTCATGCTCTAGCTGATACTCACAACTTGAGTCATGCTGCCAGCCAGCTTTTTTGCTTGTGTTTTACATATAAAATTTCATGGAATTTTCTGCCCAGGTTGGCTTTGAACCCTAATCCTCAGATCTTAGCTCCTAAGTACAGGGTCTTCTGGGGCCTCTTTAACGACAGACTATTCTCATTCGTAAAGGCTCTCCCATTGTGATCTGATCACCTCCTAAAAGCCCTCCTAATATGATCATGCTAGAGGTCAGCGTTTCAATGTGAAAATTTTGAGAGGATGCAAATATTCAGACCACAGGAGTAGAGGAAGAGGAGAAGAAAAGACATTTCAAATAAAATTTTATGAGCTGGACACCTGAGACTCACATCTATTATCCTAGCTACTCAGGAGGCTAAGATCTGAGGATCGTGGTTCAAAGCCAGCCCAGGCAGAAAAGTCTGAAAGACTTATCTCCAAAACACTACTCAAAAAGCTGGATGTGGCACTGTGGCTCAAGTGTTAGAGTGCTAGCCTTGAGCACAAACAGGCTCAGGGACAGTGCCCAGGCCCTGATTTCAAGTCCTAGGACTAGCCAAAAAAAAAAAAAAGTAATTTTATGTTTAGAGTTACTTGATAGTTTAGGAATACCTGAAATTTTCTATTACCAATTTTCCCAAGAGCAAAATATAGTAATATGCCAAGGAAAAATTTATACCTATATGATAATGTGATGTTCTGAGAAATTAATTCTATTTTTAGTATTTCAAAATTGGTTGCTTGAGATAAAAATGGAAGTTTTTTTTTCTAAATCATTCCCTTATGAACAATAATTTTATTTGGTTCCCAAAGTTTCAAAATATAGGGGAAAAAACTAGTATTACTGTAGTACCTGTTAAAATGTTGTGAGCCATTTTTTCACTCCATTCAGGTAATTCTTTTGCTTTTTCTTCTGAAACTGGCTCATAGGGTACAATGTTACTCAGATTAACTTCTTCAGTTGAAGCATCTTTTGTCTGAACAGTGAAAATGTTTCAAAATGTGAAAACAGTAAAAGGGGGAAACTTACCATGTAATAAAATGTTAAGTCAACAAATATGAGTTATAATTATCAAAAAAATCTCCAGCCAATCTAGTTGTTGCAAATCCTATACACAACAATACTAGAACTGTCATGAAGCAAAAAGTAATTCTGGTCTTATCTAAGTTCCCACTGGAACTAAATACATGTATAACTCTTAATATACCATTTATAAATTCACATTTAAATTGGCTAATTTTTTTCCTTGATTAATCCATTCCTTCATGTAGATATCATCCATAGAAGTTATTTTGTGTCTGGTGCTCAGAAATTACTCTTGAATGACTCAGTCAATAAAGGATATATCTAAATAAATTGGCTTTGACGGAGATGAAAAGATGAATGTGAAGTATGTAAGAATAAGTAGCCGGGCGCTGGTGGCTCATGCTTGTAATCCTAGCTACTCAGGAAGCTGAGATCTGAGGATCACGGTTCAAAGCCAGCCTAGGCAGGAAAGTCCATGAAACTCTTATCTCCAATAAACCACCAGAAAACCGGAATTGGCGCTGTAGCCTTGAGCTGAAGAGTTGAGGGACAGCATTCAGGCCCAGAGTTCAAGCCCCATGACCAACAGACAAAAAAAAATAATAAGTAAACATTAATTTTAAGTGGAAATGGGAGAAGGTATAGAGCTAGAGCCAACACCAAAAATCTCAAAATAAGTTCATTCTAAGAAACTGAAGAACAGGCTAACTCAAACCTCATAGTATGAAACCTTCTATGTCCAATAGAAATATCAAGAAATTCATTTAAATACAAAAATATAGATTACATATGTACATCAAACAAAAGCAAAAGATTATATGTATTATATGCCAAAATATTATATGTATTATATGTGTTAAATATCTGCATATGTGTGTATAAATATATATATATATATATATATATATAGGCTGGACTATGTATAAAATACATGACAATCAGAAGCTAGTAACTCAGGGCCAAGGGGAGGGGGGATGGGTTGTTGAATAGTAAGATCACGGTTTGAGGCTAACTCCAGGTGATATCCCGCTTCAACAAACAAGCATGATGGTACATGCCTATATTCCCAAATATGGGGGAAGCACAGGTAGGAGGGTCAAAGTCAGAGGTTGGTCTAGGCAAAAATGCAAACCATATCTAGGATTAGACATTTGGCTCAAGTGTAGAATGTTTGCCTAGCTCATACAAGATCTTTAGTTCCCTTCTCAGTACTATCAAAATAAGAAGGGAGCTAGATGACTGTTAAGAATTTTCTACCCTTTGAAGTTATTTCTTGTGATTAACTTTTCAAAACCTTTAAAAACAAACGTTTCTTTGAATCATACAGGACTCGTAAAGTCCTCATTGAGCTGGCCTAAGATGTTAATAACTTGAACCGGTTGTATTTTGCAAGCATATATGGAATATTCATGTGATATTAATCCTAAAGAAAATTAATGAGCACTTACCAAACAGAATACAACAATGAAGAATACTGAATTGCTTGTAAGCCACAGAACACTACTGGATTCTATTTACTTATCTTACTACTTCTGCCTAGAATCCCTTCCACTTTTTGTACATACATGAGGCCAATTCTTATTGTTATCTTTAAGCATCATCCTAGTTATTATGTCTATCTGAACACCACTCTTTGATGCTTCTGATGCCATCCATCCACCCATACTTATTTATCAGTCTAGGCTAGATCTTCTACCTAATAATCATTTGAGAGAAACTATCTCTTTTCTAATCCATACTTTCCACTATGTGTTCTATTTCTTGAGATGAGAAATTTAAACCTTGTTCAATATGTATGTCTAACATTCTAACACTCGGTAAATATTTACTGAACTCTAATTCACATTTGTAATTTAGGGCATATTTCATACTAAGAACCTAAGGTATAAAATGAAAACTACTACACATTGTTTTAAGAAACCAGATCTCAGTTCTGTTTCCCATCTATGAAAGTGAAAGGAACCAAGTAGAGCTGACAATGCCAAAGACAGTAGCAAACTGGCACCAAACTCTTGCTAAATACAGCAAAGTGGAAAACAAGGCATAGCAAATGAAGAGTTTGCATGTCATTACTGTAAATATAAAAGTTTTCAAACAGGATAAATGGATCCCTGAACTTTAAAGAATATGAGTACAAATGATTTAGAGGCAGAAATATTAAAGCTAATCCTGACTGCACTGTAGTGAATATAAGTAGTGAATGTAAGTAAGATCGCATAAAACATGAAACAGAATAGAACATACTTCCTATCACTCCTTTATTTACCTTTTTCCCCCGTTTTCCTTTATGACGTGCCTCCTTGTTGGCCTGGTCCAACGAAGAACCTGACTGCCTTATATCAATGCCAGAAGCTTCCTTCAACTGGTCAGAGGGGAGTCTTGTTCTTCCTGGGATTTGCAATTCATCTTCTCCTTCTGCCCTGTTCCAGTTGGCCTGGAGAGTAAAGAACAAAACTTAGCTCAGAACAGATTGCATAGGGCTGGGAAGGTGGTTCAGTGGTAGAGTGCTTGCCTTGCATGCACGAGGCCCTGGGTTTGATTGCTCAGCTCCACATTACTAGAAAAAGCTGGAAGTGGCTCAAGTGGTAGAGTGCTAGCCTTGAGCTAAGGAGCTGAGGGACAGCGCCCAGGCTCAGAGTTCAGGCCCCCTGACCAACGAAAACAAAACAAAACAAAACAAAAAAACCCAACAGACTGCATAGATGACTTTTATCCAGACATGTTACACCATTTTCACAATATACTTCTTCAAATATCAGCATTGGACAGTCTAAATAAGTTGTTTTTGTTTTTCCCTAAACCTTATTACCAAATCTCAAATTTCTAAGTTCTTTAGTTTTAAACCATATGGCCTATATTTAATTTCAAAAGAAGAATATAAAAGACAACTTAAGAGTACTTGCTGGCATAACTGAATTTAATTAAATGATGAATAGATTTAAGGAAATGCATATAAGAAGTTGATGTTTGCTTTTAATACTAAAGGCATTTTGCTAGCACACATTTGCTAAATGAGTACTTAAAAATAAAAAACAATTTCAGCAACTAGTTTTCATTTACAGTTTAAGTTCTGAAACAATAGAGAAAAGGTAATACACAATCAAAAAATTGAATAGAGAAAATAAACACATAATGTATCCTCAAAGTCTCTTTAATTTCTTTCCTAAAGCCCAATAATGTAGGTTCAATGATATATAGATAAGTCAGGTCTGTGAATACCTATGTATATCACTTAAGGGAGTAAATAAGCAAAGCCAAGAGAAATCCAGACCCATTTCACCCCTCCCCATGAACACATGGAGGCCATGTACCTTTGTATTCACCTATCTCACTCTTGCTATCCTACCATTTCATACAGTACTAGGTTAATAATAAATTCTAAATGAGTACACACATGTTGCCAATCATGCTGAGGCAACTGTTAATACTCCTTAATAATTTCCCCTCTTGTCAAACAGTAGGATAGAAAATAAAACCATCACCATAATCTGTTTCAACTCCCTTACAAATACCCACTTGTTCATAATATGGGCAGAGGAAATGGGTTAAATATGGGTGATAGTTGTGGTTTTGGATAGAAAGTGGCCCCCAGTTAGTCCTAGCTGGTTCTCATCATTAAAAGGTGACTGAATCATGAGAGCTCTCATCACATGATTGATACATTCATAATTTAATAACCACTGGGAGATAGTACAGGCTAAGGCATGTGGGGCCTGGTTGGAGGAAGTTGGTTTTGGGGGCGTGATTCTGGAGGGTGCACTTTGTTCCTAGTTCTTCCTCTCTTTGTCTCTGCTTCCTGGCTGCCATGAGGCAAGCAGCTTTTCTCTCCCATACCATTGTGCCATCAATGTTTTTGCTTAGCTATAGACTTAAAAGTAATAGAGCAGCCAGTTATGGACTGAAATCTCTGAAATAGTACAAATAAATCTTTTAAATAAATCATTTTAAACTGCTTCTCTCAGGTATTTGTCATAGCAATGAAAATTAACTCATTTTATTTTTTCATTTTTCCTTCATAGTCATAAAAGGTAATTCTGTCAACCAATTCTATTCTGAAAATTCCAAATATTCACCTTAAATGTCCAAATAATACAACTAGATCTGAAGTTTAAATGTCTTCATTAAGCATCTCATGCTTTTCTCCCATGGGACCACTTTTCCAATCAAGCATTAAGAGTGGTGGTAAAAATAAAAGCTTGTATTCACAGAGCTCTACTTCTTACTAGCACTGATCACCTCAGCCCACTAAGTGGATGTTCTTATTCCTATTTTATGACAAGGTAGAGAAGTAACAGCTGAGATAAACAGCTAAAAAGTAAAAGAATTTGAATTCAGACCTGGGAAATTTAACTTCAAAGCCTAGAACCTTCATCATTGTTTATATGAAATTTTCAGGATAGTCTTAAAAACACAAAGCAAATTAGATACTCTCAGTCTCCACTAATCTCATTAGATGTAAATAACTTCCACCTTGTTTGTGGAAGTTTGAACTCAAGGGCTTAACACTTGCTAAGCATGCACTATATAACTTGAGCTACATATCCAACTCCTACAACTTCGTGTGTGTGTGTGTGTGTGTGTGTGTGTGTGTGTGTGTGTGTGTGTGTGCTGTCTTGCAGTGTGAACTTAGGGCCTGGGAGCTGTCCCTGAGCTTCTTTTGCTCAAGTCTTAAGCCATAGCTCTACCACCAGCTTTTTGAGAGTAGTTTATTGGAAATGAGAGTCTCACTGACTTTCCTGCCTGGGCTGGCTTTGAACCACATCCTTACATCCTCAGCCTTCTAAGTAGTTAGGATTATAGGTAGAGCCACCAGTGCCCAGCTACAATTTCTTTAAAAGCAGACATGCCCAGGACCCTAGGCACTCACACACAGTGAAACCAAAGAAGGATTCTCTTAGGAGAGATGAACACCAAGTGCAATGCCTCTGTGCATCTGACCATATAAAATAGTATTTATCGAAATGAATTATAGGAAATGGAAACAGAGGTTTTTTTCTTTGTTGCTGTTTTAGTTTTCTTTTTATCTGTCTTTGGGAGAGTAAGGGCCCAAAAATGGAGAGACAAAGGGTGAACAAATGCAGCAATGCTACTCAGTGGACACCATATTGAAAATCAACTATACAGATGGAGGGCAGGGATGGTAGGGGAAACAAAGGAGGAAGCAACAATGCTTGATAAGAAATGTACTCATTACCTTGCTCATGTAATTGTAACCCTCTGTACGGTATTTTCACAATAAAAAAGAAAAGAAAAGAAAATCAACTATACAACTTGTGGGTGGGGATGGGAGAGAAAAACCAGGAAAGAGTGAGGGAATAGAGGACACTGCTCAAAAACAAATGTACTCTTTACCTGGCTTATGTATTTGCAACCCCTCCATACATCACCTTTATAATAAAAAATAATAAAAAATTTAAAAAGAAGACAGGCACATGCTAACGTAGATTTTCATCCTAAAAGAAGATATGAATTACCTGAAGCCGGAGGTCAGACATTTGCCTTAACAGATCCTCAAAGAGTTCTCTATCTTCCTCTGGTAGTTCAGAGGACAAGACAACTCCCACAAAGCATCCAGCAGCTTGTAACATTGTATCAGGAAACATGTAGGCTCCCACAGTACATTTCAGAACTGGAGATCGATCAGGAACTAGAGGATATAACCAGTCACAAACCTACAATAATTAGGAGAAAAATCAGTGAAATAAATTTTAAAATAAGATTGTTATGGTAGAAAATAAACATTTCAAACTTTGATATGTACATATATTAAAGATTTTATAGAATATCTGTATTAATAAATCCCCAATGAAAATTAATCAGTTCTTACTATAACCTTCCTGCAACAAAAACTGCTAAAAATGCTATTGCTCCATTACATCTTTGGGTTTTTTAAAAAGCAGAAATACATGTTAAATAGTTTTCATCCCAAAATGATGATACAAATTAAACTCTCATAGTACATTTCAGAACTAGAGATCTGGCTGGGCACTGGTGGTTCACGCCTGTAATCCTAGCTACCCAGGAGGCTGAGATCTGAGAATCACGGTTCAAAACCAGCCCCGGCAGGAAAGTCCGTGAGACTGTTATCTCCAATAAACCACTCGAAAACCGAAGTGGTGCTGTGGCTCAAGCAGTAGAGCGCTCGCCTTGAGCCAAAGAGCGCAAGGACAGCGCCTAAGCCTAGAGTTCAAGCCCCACGACCAAAAAACAAAAACAACAATTCATTATCCCTTTATCTCTCCCCTTCCTTTTTGAATTGTTTAGTAGATTTCATTATAGTATTTTCCTATCTACACATAATGTACTTTGATCATTTCTCTTCCAGTAGTTCTTCCCCAAATATCCCTTTATAAGCATGTCATATTACTTGTTTATATCTACATGCCACATATGTAAGAAAACTAACAGTCTTAAAAGTGGTAGCCATACTGCTTTTTAGTAGCTAAACTATATAACTCTGCCTAACACTAGAGTCCTATCTTACTATAAAATAAAATTGGAAGGATCAATCCGTTAACACAATGTGTGATATAAACATATAAAAGAACATAGACTTCTTCCAAGCAGATGGGAAACTGATACATTTAAGGCTCACTTCTGAAATTTACCTAATAAACATTTTCAGTCCTTTTATTAATTCTCTTCAGTTGTTTTTTTTTTTTTTTTCCTGGTCGTGGGGCTTGAACTCTGGGCTTGGGCACTCTCCTTGCGCTCTACAGCTCAAGGTGAGTGCTCTACCACTTGTGCCACAGCACCACTTCCAGTTTTCAAGTGGTTTATTGGAGATAAGAGTCTCACAGACTTTCCTGCCCTGGCTTGCTTTGAACCGTGGTCCTCAGATCTCAGCCTCCTGAGTAGCTAGGATTACAGGTGTGAGCCACCAGTGCCTGGCTCTCTTCAGTATTTATCTCAGAAATAACTACCTGTTTATATTTAAGTCAAACTTGGCACAAGTTATAATAAAAACTACTATATTTTCCAAAGCATAGTAGATAAATCATGTGAAATGATATCAGGCAATTCACAATTTTTTTGGGGGGGGTGGGGGAGTCCAGTTGTGGGGCCTAAACTCTGGGCCTGGGCGCTGTGCCTCAACTCTTCAGCTCAAGGCTAGTGCTCTACTACTTGAGCCACAGCGCCACTTTTGGCTTTTTTTTTCTGCTTATGTGGTGCTGAGGAATCGAACCCAGGGCCTCATGCATGCAAGGCAAGCACTCTACCACTGAGCCACCTTTCCAGCCCAATTCACAAACTTTTAAATTTGAGTAATTACATATTTTAATATGCATTAGAGACAACAGGTATTTTCCTTAATTTTTACATTTGTTATTCTGATGAAAAAATCATACAGTATAATAAAAGTATTGAGAAACCAATACTAGGGGTATATATTTGACCAAGAAAATTATAGTTTATTCTAAATATGATAAAGCTTATGAAATGTTTTATTTACTATTCTATAATATTTTTAAAATTAATTATATCTTTATACCTTGATTGAAGTGCAATATGCCAAAGCTCCTAAACATTGTTTACCCTTTCATAGAACCAGTTATTACAGATTGGTGAGCTTATCTTTGTAAGTTGACTTATCCCAGTTTCACTTTCAGAAGGAAATTTCATGTTCAAGTTCTCTATGAACTAACCACAGATTTGTGGACTTTAAAAAAACACATTAGAACTAAACCAAAAGAATTTCAGAGTTCTAAAATTCCAAGTCTATTCCAAACAAAATAATCGTGTTCTCATTTGTTAAATACACAAATGGATTTTATAGCATATGAAAAAATATTTCTAATGCCTAAAACTTAGCAAGTTTATTATGGTTTGGCTTTTATAATAAACACATTCAGTCAACATTTCTGCAAATCCTTTTTAAGACTCTGCTACAAATACCTGGACATATGTAAATGAGAGCTTCTTAAGGGGATTCAAAGTAAATTTGGGGTATAATTTTACTTTTGACATAGGACCAAAGAAGGAGGGATGAAAAAGATTAAATTATCATGAATTAATACAAGATATTTTCTAAAGTTTCAATCCTTTTAATGATTTAGTTCATGTAACCAGCAGTGTTTCTGATGTTTACCTCCTCAACTTCAGCTGCCAAGGACCCAAACATTATTTAATTCCACAGTATTACTATTACCAAATAAGCAGGTTGTTGTAGTATTATCAGTATCCTTCCATGACCCTACACAACATACCTGCCCTGTTGTTGTTGTTGTTGTTTATAGTGGAAGAACAACCTGCCCTGTTCAACTTTAAGACTTCTTCCCTAAAATAACTGGAGTCATTCTTGTCCAGTAATTAATCAATAATGCCCAAAGGACCTTTCACTCTACTAAGCCTTAACTGTAAACAGCTTTTAAGGTGACTCTATGAAAAAGCTTCATGAGAACTGAATGTACACGAACACTCTCCAGGTAAAATATATATAGCCAGTGCTAAAACAAAGCTACATTATCTGGACTCCAGACAAAAGTACCTGCTTTGTTTAAATAGTCATCACTCAACGAAGTAAATTCCTTTTTATGCTTAATGTACCCTAAATCAGTCCTCATTTCAATAACCCAGCTCCCAGCACCTACAACCAAACGTTTGAAACCATACTTCCAGGCAAAGCACTATAGCTCAGGCCTCTAATCCCAGCTACATGGGAGAGATACATAGGAGGACCATAACCGGAGGCAATCTGGGAAAAATACAGAAGACCCTATCTGAAAAATTGAAAGGCTGGAGGAGTTGCTCAAGTGGTAGAGCACTTGTTTAGCCAGTGCAAGGCCCTGAGTTCAAACACCAGTTCCACCAAAACCAAAAAGCCCAGATTGTCACTGGACTACTGCTACCTTTGCAACACCTCACTGTATCCACAGCTCTGTCCTGATACCAGTCTTTAGTCTACCAATCTTTGCTTATGAACCAATTACATTCTGGTGAATTTATCTGCAGTCTCAGGTTCTAGACCATTTTCTCAACCCTGGCATGATTGTAACTTGGAGGCTAACTTTTTTGTTGATAATGGCTGTATGATGTGGATGTTTAGCAGCTTACTCTCTATGCCATTAGGAACCATCCCCTAGTTGTGACAACCAAACGTTTCCAGATATTGTCTCATGACCTGAGGGGCAAACTTGTATCTGGATAGGAACCATTCTTATATACAGTAGACTGGTTCTACCCAGTTCAGAACCTCAGCTGGGTCTTGATAACATTTGTGGATAGTAATTTATTTCTACATAAATTACGTAAATCCCTTCTGAAATTTAAGACACTAGGTTTCTTCTTCAGGTAAAGAATGAAAAAACTAATGATGTACTCTCTCCTTTTTTTTTGTCCTGTCATCACAAATTTAAAACCAAAGTAAAATTTTGTATCTTAAAAATGATTATAAAACACAAACATAGATATTCGGGGCTCATTAATTTTAGGAAACATGAAGTAGAACTTATCATTATATTTGCAATTATCCTGGATGTAGTATAAATACTAACAAAAGAGATGCATCCTATGTTTAAAATTACATTTCCATTTGTAGCCACTTACCTGAAGAAACCCAGGAGGACGGTTTAGAACTGCATCCAGAGAATTATCCAAAAACCTCACAATTCGAAGGTACCCAGGATACGAAGGTGCACTAACTTCCCCTGCAGGATTTACAAAAAAAATCTGCACTCCATTTGGTACCAAAATTAACTCATCAGCATCTAGCCCTAAGCTTTCAAGGGGAGGTGGTTGAGAATGGTTTCTGTAGAAGTCCTCTCCAACTGATGAAACCTCCCCAGAATCTGTTCCGTAGGACACAGTGTAGTGTCCCTCGGCTGCCTGTGGAGTGTAAGCAGGAGGAGCATCTGCTGGACAGCTTGGAGATGGTAAAGACAGAGAAGAGGGTTCAGCAACTGACCCTGCACCTGCGGCTGAAGTGTTTCTACTTTCTTCAGCCTGCTGGGGAGGTGACCTAGAGGACTGAGGCTCCGGTGACTTTCCATTCATGTCCTTTGGTGGGAACTCTGGATATAACTTGGGCACCTCTTGCAGATCATTCCGTAGAGAAGTGGCAAGTCCTTTCTCTAGGATTTCTAACCTGGTACGGACATTCTGCAGTGTTTCTTTCATTTTCTGCTGCATCTGTCTAGCAGATTCCCACCCAGGGCCTGTGTGTGTAGGCTCTGTTGATACTATGCTGATTCCCCTGAGCAGGTGTCCTATTCCTTGCTTGTAGTAGTTCTTTGCTTCTTCCTTCTGACCCAATTCATCTGTATTTAGTCCTTTATTAACAAATAAAAAGGCCTTCTGGTATGCTTCTTTGATGATCTTAATTTCAGCAGGCTCTCCATTTTGTGGATTTTGCTCCATTTCTGCAAAATAGAAAACATTACCAGTAATTAGCTAGCTACTTGTTTACTTATTCATTTCTCTTACATGAATATAGTTCAAGAGGACAGGAGACTTGCTCGTCTATCTTGTTCACTTTTATATTCTCTAAGACTAGTTCTGACACACAAAGCCCTTAATATGTAGTTGATGGATAAATGCTCATACTCCTAAATAAAAGAATACAGCTATTAAGTAATTTTTACTAGTTTTAATAAAATACTTCTCTATTGTATTCACCTTTAAGAGCTGCAGTAAAAAGCCTTACTTAACATTCATTATACAGTTTCTATAAATCCAGATTATATCTAGAGCTAATAAAAATTAGCTGAATCACACTGAATGAGAAATGAGAAAATATCTGGAGGAAACCTTAAAGTTACCCAATTTTCATTCAAAGATAGCAAGCTACCCAAGTAGAGTTAGCCTATTTTCTCCTCTAACCCCTACTAAGATAGCTTACTAAAAGATTACTAAAAAGGTATAACTATTTTCTTTTATCTTTTGGAGGTCCTGGAGTTTGAATGCAGGGCATGCTTGCTAGTCAGGCACTTTACTGTTGAGCTATACCTTCAGTTCTTTTTCCCTACTTTTTTTTTGGGGGGGGGGCTGGGCGTGGCTTCCTACCCAATTGTGTGTCTAGACCTCAATCTTCCTATTTGGGTTTCCTATCATGGCTGGGATGACAGACATGTACCACCAGGCTCTGCTAATGATTGAGAAATGGTCTTAACCTTTGGCTCAACTTAGATTTGAACTATTATTCTCCCTGGTTCAGCCTCCCAAGAAGCTTAAGATTACAGACATGAGCTATCATCAATGCCTGGCTTACAAATTTTTTCCTTTTTTTTTGTATTTTTATTTTTTGCTGATACCAGGGCTTGAACTCAGGGCCTTACACTTGCTGGGCTTGCTTGTTCATCTGGTGCTTTAGCACCTGAGCCATGCCTCCAGTCTAGCTTTTGCTCTTTATTTCAGAGATAGAATCTCTTAGACTTTTCTGCTCAGGCTGACTTCAATAGTAGTAGAAATAAATGTCTTCAGAATGCCTCCCTTTCCAAAGATCCTGAGAGATCCAAATAGTCAGGTCTCCTTATCAAGGCTCCAGACCAGTGCTTTGATTTATGAATATTCCATTCTTACTTTCCCTTGTCTGGGGGTGACCCATTTAGAAGCCACCAGTGTTTTGATTACAAATTCTGAATTACCCCCACTTTTCGTGGACAGGCTGTAACCCATATGGATTACTAACACACACACCTCTTGCCAACTGCAAATGTAACAGCTGCTTTTACCAACCCCCATCGGACCACACTACATTCCCCACTACAAATGCCTCAGCTTGTAAGCAAGGAGTGAGTCTCTAACTTCGGCTGGGGGCTCCCCTCTGTTCCCTGGGGCCTCCAACAAACCTGTGTTGGTATTGAGCATGCTGTCTATTCTCCACGCCTCTGAACCTAATAATGAGACTTTGAACCCAACAGTAACCACTTCTTTTTTTTTTTTTTTTGGGGGGGTCGGGTCGTGAGGCCTGAACTCTGGGCCTGGGCGTTGTCCCTCAGCTCTTCAGCTCAAGGCTAGCACTCTTCCACTGAGCCACAGCGCCACTTCCGGCTTTTGGCTTTTTGCTTATGTGGTGCTGAGGAATCGAACCCAGGGGCTCTGGCTTGCAATGCAAGCACTCTACCACTGAGCCACCTTCCCAGCCCCAGTAACCACTTCTTACTGCAGAAAACAGGGGACACATTACACGTTCCTTTGATACAAGGTGGCACAGAGTAAGACAATACAAGTCACCAGAGGCCTATCATATTCCTAATTGCAAGTGTTTACCAAGCATCTTGTCAAGATAAAAATTATTATGTGATTTCATATGCGTTAATTTTCAAAGTTGGGAATAGAAATTGTAGCAAACGTCAATTTGAAGTAATAAGCAGTATCTATTCCAGTACCACAATCAAATCATAAGTCAAAACCTGTTTCCAGATAGCAATGATGTACGTAAGTTGTATTATACATTCTAATGAAAGTAAAAGGAACTTACAGACAATATAACTATATGTCTGTTTGCTTTAAAAATAACAAAGCAAAAGTAAAGTTCTGAATCCAAATACCTGGCAACTTGGTTCAATCCTGTTTTTAAAAATGAGAGTAAGCAATCATGTTTAAAGGGTAATAATACCACAGTTAGTCTTTACCTGTCTTGACCTTTACAAAAGAAAAGAGGGAAGGTCCACAAACATCATTACTTAAATTACATATTAACGAATTAGTTATATATAAAGTGATGTACTCTGATTTTCAATGCACTATAAGAAGGATGATTAAAGCAAGCCAATTAACTTTTGTATCACCTTTACTATTTTAAATAAGAGCATTTCTGATTTGAGAATTTATCTTACTGCTACTGAAATGCACAAGACTCAGTTATATTCACCAACACTGTCCAACAGACTCCTGCCCACATCCTGCAGAAAACAAAACAAAACAAACAAACCCACCTTATTCTAATTATTGAGAAGGGAGAAATAGGGCTTTTTCAAATATCTGTTCCCAACTCCTTTCTGTACCATCCTACCCCATTCTGGCTCACTAAGGTAACACCTATCTACATTTCACAAAAAGTGCCACAGGTGAGAAGCAATCTTCATCACACACACTATAAAGGCTTCCACTTTCAAGCAGGCTGTATATAAAACCACCAAGTGAAGTCAACTGTAAAAAGAGTACACGTTAGAAACGAGTTCCACTTACGAAATCTCCTCGATTTCGTAAATTTCAAAGAAACCTGGTTAGAATTCTTAACTACTTCTGACTTCAGTCCAACCGTTCCTCTGGATCACAATAACTGCGTTCCTCGTTACACACCAGAAAGCAAACTTCGATTCATCACAATCTAAGAACGGGGAGGTCGGCCCGGCCCGACTGCCACGCCACAATGCTGGGTCACGGCAGAGTGCACAGCACACTCTCTCCCTGATTCAGAGTTTGGGATGCCACATTCCTGGGGGACGCGAGCCAGTGTATTCGACAGAGTGCGCCGCCACGCCTTCCACCCGCGGCTGCCGTGGGGGGCGGCCCCCCAGCAGGCCGCAGCGCGGGCCTCGCAGGGTGAAGCCTGGGCCTCAGGACAGCCGCACAGGAGGGGCTCCAGGAGGGGCTGCGGTTTCGGGCGGACGGTATCAGCCGGGG